AAGACGTCGCAAAGTCATGCTGAGATTATGTTTGAGAGACATCAAAGACTTCAGCCGAGAATAAAGGTAATTTGTTTTAATATCCTAAACTTATTTTTGAGTGTATAAAAGGAGGAAACGCCCCACCGTCCTGTTCAAATTTTTTTTTCAGCACTTAGGGTGCTTACAATTTTCCAGCTACAATAGCTTCAGAAACGAACCAATGTTTAAACTCGATTTTTCTCATTTCTAGTCTCTCAATACAGTTTTCAATAAGGGAATTCTCAGGCGTAAGCAATAAGCAGCAACTGAAACAATCATTAAGCAGGAAACATCAACAACTTAATCATCTGTATTCGAGGATGATGTAGCCTCTCACCAGTCAACGATAAATCATAAACAATCTCAACAAGCTATGCAAATAAAAGTTGTCCCTAAAGTTTAAAGTCAATCGCTGGGAATCAATGTAAGTAATAAACAGTTAAAGTTCTAAGATTACTAGTAATTATCAGTTTGTTGAAACAACTGTAACCAATACCGACATTATATTATATAACAAAGGTTGATGACATATTTCCAAATTATGTGACGTCATCAATTGAACAACCTGAGTGTCCATGATCAATACTTTCATGGGCTGGTCGTGAATCTATATGTTAAAGTATGGTATGAAATGATGAGAAGACATCGCAAAGTCATGCTGAGATTATGTTTGAGAGATATCAAAGACTTCAGCCGAGAATAAAGGTAATTTGTTTTAATATCCTAAAATTATTTTTGAGTGTATAAAAGGAGGAAACGCCCCACCGTCCTGTTCAAATTTTTTTTTCAGCACTTAGGGTGCTTACATTTTTCCAGCTACAATAGCTTCAGAAACGAACCAATGTTTAAACTCGATTTTTCTCATTTCTAGTCTCTGAATACAGTTTTCAATAAGGGAATTCTCAGGCGTAAGCAATAAGCAGCAACTGAAACAATCATTAAGCAGGAAACATCAACAACTTAATCATCTGTATTCGAGGATGATATAGCCTCTCACCAATCAACGATAAATCATAAACAATCTCAACGAGCTATGCAAATAAAAGTTGTCCCTAAAGTTTAAAGTCAATTGCTGGGAATCAATGTAAGTAATAAACAGTTAAAGTTCTAAGATTACTAGTAATTATCAGTTTGTTGAAACAACTGTAACCAATACCGACATTATATTATATAACAAAGGTTGATGAGATATTTCCAAATTATGTGACGTCATTAATTGAACAACCTGAGTGTCCATGATCAATACTTTCATGGGCTGGTCGTGAATCTATATGTTAAAGTATGGTATGAAATGATGAGAAGACATCGCAAAGTCATGCTGAGATTATGTTTGAGAGACATCAAAGACTTCAGCCGAGAATAAAGGTAATTTGTTTTAATATCCTAAACTTATTTTTGAGTGTATAAAAGGAGGAAACGCCCCACCGTCCTGTTCAAATTTTTTTTCAGCACTTAGGGTGCTTACATTTTTCCAGCTACAATAGCTTCAGAAACGAACCAATGTTTAAACTCGATTTTTCTCATTTCTAGTCCCTCAATACAGTTTTCAATAAGGGAATTCTCAGGCGTAAGCAATAAGCAGCAACTGAAACAATCATTAAGCAGGAAACATCAACAACTTAATCATCTGTATTCGAGGATGATATAGCCTCTCACCAATCAACGATAAATCATAAACAATCTCAACGAGCTATGCAAATAAAAGTTGTCCCTAAAGTTTAAAGTCAATCGCTGGGAATCAATGTAAGTAATAAACAGTTAAAGTTCTAAGATTACTAGTAATTATCAGTTTGTTGAAACAACTGTAACCAATACCGACATTATATTATATAACAAAGGTTGATGACATATTTCCAAATTATGTGACGTCATCAATTGATCAACCTGAGTGTCCATGATCAATACTTTCATGGGCTGGTCGTGAATCTATATGTTAAAGTATGGTTTGAAATGATGAGAAGACATCGCAAAGTCATGCTGAGATAATGTTTGAGAGATATCAAAGACTTCAGCCGAGAATAAAGGTAATTTGTTTTAATATCCTAAACTTATTTTTGAGTGTATAAAAGGAGGAAACGCCCCACCGTCCTGTTCAAATTTTTTTTCAGCACTTAGGGTGCTTACAATTTTCCAGCTACAATAGCTTCAGAAACGAACCAATGTTTAAACTCGATTTTTCTCATTTCTAGTCTCTCAATACAGTTTTCAATAAGAGAATTCTCAGGCGTAAGCAATAAGCAGCAACTGAAACAATCATTAAGCAGGAAACATCAACAACTTAATCATCTGTATTCGAGGATGATGTAGCCTCTCACCAGTCAACGATAAATCATAAACAATCTCAACAAGCTATGCAAATAAAAGTTGTCCCTAAAGCTTAAAGTCAATCGCTGGGAATCAATGTAAGTAATAAACAGTTAAAGTTCTAAGATTACTAGTAATTATCAGTTTGTTGAAACAACTGTAACCAATACCGACATTATATTATATAACAAAGGTTGATGACATATTTCCAAATTATGTGACGTCATCAATTGATCAACCTGAGTGTCCATGATCAATACTTTCATGGGCTGGTCGTGAATCTATATGTTAAAGTATGGTATGAAATGATGAGAAGACATCGCAAAGTCATGCTGAGATTATGTTTGAGAGATATCAAAGACTTCAGCCGAGAATAAAGGTAATTTGTTTTAATATCCTAAACTTATTTTTGAGTGTATAAAAGGAGGAAACGCCCCACCGTCCTGTTCAAATTTTTTTTTCAGCACTTAGGGTGCTTACAATTTTCCAGCTACAATAGCTTCAGAATCGAACCAATGTTTAAACTCGATTTTTCTCATTTCTAGTCTCTCAATACAGTTTTCAATAAGAGAATTCTCAGGCGTAAGCAATAAGCAGCAACTGAAACAATCATTAAGCAGGAAACATCAACAACTTAATCATCTGTATTCGAGGATGATGTAGCCTCTCACCAGTCAACGATAAATCATAAACAATCTCAACAAGCTATGCAAATAAAAGTTGTCCCTAAAGCTTAAAGTCAATCGCTGGGAATCAATGTAAGTAATAAACAGTTAAAGTTCTAAGATTACTAGTAATTATCAGTTTGTTGAAACAACTGTAACCAATACCGACATTATATTATATAACAAAGGTTGATGACATATTTCCAAATTATGTGACGTCATCAATTGATCAACCTGAGTGTCCATGATCAATACTTTCATGGGCTGGTCGTGAATCTATATGTTAAAGTATGGTATGAAATGATGAGAAGACATCGCAAAGTCATGCTGAGATTATGTTTGAGAGATATCAAAGACTTCAGCCGAGAATAAAGGTAATTTGTTTTAATATCCTAAACTTATTTTTGAGTGTATAAAAGGAGGAAACGCCCCACCGTCCTGTTCAAATTTTTTTTTCAGCACTTAGGGTGCTTACAATTTTCCAGCTACAATAGCTTCAGAAACGAACCAATGTTTAAACTCGATTTTTCTCATTTCTAGTCTCTCAATACAGTTTTCAATAAGGGAATTCTCAGGCGTAAGCAATAAGCAGCAACTGAAACAATCATTAAGCAGGAAACATCAACAACTTAATCATCTGTATTCGAGGATGATGTAGCCTCTCACCAGTCAACGATAAATCATAAACAATCTCAACAAGCTATGCAAATAAAAGTTGTCCCTAAAGTTTAAAGTCAATCGCTGGGAATCAATGTAAGTAATAAACAGTTAAAGTTCTAAGATTACTAGTAATTATCAGTTTGTTGAAACAACTGTAACCAATACCGACATTATATTATATAACAAAGGTTGATGACATATTTCCAAATTATGTGACGTCATTAATTGAACAACCTGAGTGTCCATGATCAATACTTTCATGGGCTGGTCGTGAATCTATATGTTAAAGTATGGTATGAAATGATGAGAAGACGTCGCAAAGTCATGCTGAGATTATGTTTGAGAGACATCAAAGACTTCAGCCGAGAATAAAGGTAATTTGTTTTAATATCCTAAACTTATTTTTGAGTGTATAAAAGGAGGAAACGCCCCACCGTCCTGTTCAAATTTTTTTTCAGCACTTAGGGTGCTTACATTTTTCCAGCTTCAATAGCTTCAGAAACGAACCAATGTTTAAACTCGATTTTTCTCATTTCTAGTCTCTCAATACAGTTTTCAATAAGGGAATTCTCAGGCGTAAGCAATAAGCATCAACTGAGACAACCAGTAAGCAGGAAGTATCGCCAACTTTCCTTCACTTGATATTAGGACGATATAGCATCTCACCAATCAACGATAATACATATACAATTTCAAGTGAGCAACGTGAGTGTCCATAATCTTTATTTACATGGGATGATCGGGAATCTATGTGTTAAAGTATTGTACGAGGCAGCGAACATTTTGTAAATTAAAGAAAAATTTTTAACAGTTCGTCCAAGTTTAAATTTGCTTAAGTTTTTCAAAATTAAGTTAATTTTGCAGCAGTATTCATTGATAAACAGTTATATTTGCCAGCTATAAGGCAAACCTAGCATTTATTCAGAAAGGGCCTTCTTATCTGCTTCTGGTTTTTGCAACAAGCTTTGCACTAGACTTAATGACGAAGCCCACCATCATTTATGTGTTTTAAGGGCACATTTCTAAAATAGATTGAACCGGTATTGAAAACTATAACGCATAGTAAAACTGTTTTGATGTCTTTTCATTGATAAATGGATGTATTCTTTTTAACGTTAATATGAACGATAGAATTTCAGCTCCATACGATATTCATATTTTCTCACTTATGGTGATGCTTTTGGACATGATAATGATTTTTTTATGTTTACGTTTTCTTGATGTTATACCTTTTTGTATTTTAATAACACCTCGTGATGAAAACTGTAAATGTAATTTGACGAGTAAATTCTGAATTACATAACTGTGAACATAAGAGTTATTAATTTTAAGGCACTATCAAAAATCAACTATGTATTTAAATTAGAAAAAAACTTTATTTGATTTCTCTTACACTGATCAAAATATAACTGTCAACTTATTCGAATTCTGATATCGGAACTTTATCTGGAAGTGGAAGTGAAGGACGCTGCATATTTGTATTTCTAAAGCCAACATTATTAGGACCTGTGCTTTGTTTTGTTTTTGGACGACCTGTTAAAAAATTAAAAATCAGTAAATTATTAATATTAATGGTATCAAATTGGATTATTTAAGTTAAACTTACCAGGCCCACGTTTCGGTTGTTGAATATCTGTTGTGCCTTCAGGAATGTCTCGTTTCTTGCCAGTTCCTCTTGGTCTTCCTGGTCTTCTGTTTCCTGCACGTTGAGCATTTCTTTTTCGAGCACTTTTTGTGTCACCGTAAATTTTTGGCGTACTGGAATTTTCATCCATAACTAAAGCATCATTGCTCGAATCTTCATTGTTAATTCCTACACTACTTCCTGCCATTTGAGATTGTTCACTAATGGAAGGCGATGATGGTATTCCCGATTCTAAAAATGCGAGATCTTCTGCATCCAACAAAATATCAAGCTTTTGTTTCTTTGTCTCTTTTGACAGTGGGAAGTTCTTTCGTTTTCGTCCTGGATTTCCATCACGTGGTCCACTTGATGATCTTTCTTCTGAACGTTTTTCTTCACCCTTCTTTTGACGATATTTTGTTTCGATTTCATCGTCGTCCAAAAGTAATGAGACAACTTCTTTTGGTTTCAACGTATCAGGTTTAAAATTACCGCCACTTATAACCATTCGCTGAATTTCACTTTTCTCACGAGCTCTTTGCAAAATTCGTTCTTCAATTGTTCCTTTACAGATTAAACGATAAACGGTGACCTGCTTTGTCTGTCCTAATCTATGTGCACGATCCATAGCTTGTTGATCAACTGTTGGATTCCAGTCACTATCATAAAAAATAACAGTATCAGCTGCCGTTAAATTTATTCCAAGACCTCCAGCACGAGTTGATAATAGAAAACAAAAAATGTCTTCACGTGATTGAAAATCAGCTACCATATCACGACGAGCTGAAATTTTACTGCTACCATCAAGTCGCATGTATCGATGCTTTCGATGCCACATATATTCCTCTAATAGATCTATCATCTTGGTCATTTGAGAATAAATGAGAACTCTATGTCCTTCTGATTTCAATCTGGTTAGTAATGAATCAAGAACTGTTAACTTGCCTAGAAGAAAATTTATCAAAAATTTGTTAATTTTGTGTACGTAAAATAATAATTATTAGCTAACTTACCAGCATCAGCAACTAACGACTGTTTGTCAGGAACTGTAATATATGACCAGCCTCGTTGTGGATGTGTCATAATAATACCGTTGTTAATCAATTCCCATCCTTCTTTGCTGTCACAATGATCAAATCTTTTTTGTTCCCATGCAGCTGCTCTGGACTCAACATGTAAACGTTTCGAGTTGCTTTGAATTTTTGGAGGTAGATTAAGTAAGAATTTTGGCATATTTGTGGGCTCACAGACTAAGGTTCTTGACTGACGTGGAGTGTGAGAGAATTCTGGAAGTAATCTTAATTGACTATGTTCAATATCAAGAACTTTTTTATGTTCAATATGAGGTTCTTTTTGAGTTGGTGATTTCATCGGTGACTTTAATAATCGTGTTGGTGACTTTAGTGGTGCTTTTACCAATGTTGTACATGGATGTTCAAATATTCTTTGTGGTGCATGACGACTCCGAATTATACGATGATCCGTTGTCTCTTGCATTGAATGTAATACTTGAGTTTTGTGTGTATAGACTATACTTTCACTAGAGTTTTGACTTGTAAAAATTAAATTTCGTAGAACACTTGTATTGGACATAAAATTCTTGTTCAATTTGTTACTATAAGTTGGCTCCAATAACATAAATCGCTTATCTGTATTCTTCCACCACTCATTTCGATAATGTAGCATTTGATTGTACAGTTCTGTTTGTAAGGCATGTAATAAATATTCCAATAATCCATTTAATGTTAATTTTTCAACTTCTCCAGGTGATGTGTCGATAAATCTTAAAAATGAAAGTCCATTACTCTCATCTTCTTCTTCAGATAATCTTCGATGAATATTCTCGGCTTTGAAAATGCTAAACTTATTATAAAGCAAATGATTTTTACTCGGAATCGATTTATGTATCCTAAGTTCGTCAAATACCAGACGAGGCATATGATAATCAAGTTGAGTCAATGTAAATGGTGATTTTACATCACGTCGTTCAAAAAGCTCAGGATGGTTACACACTTTACGGAACTGCATGACAAGATTCATTAGATTTGAGGTGAAGTTCTTGTCTGTTGTATGGCCATCCATATGTCCAGTTGCTTTCAGTAAATCTTCAATTCTAATCTTTTTCTTCAGTGCCATATAAAGGTACTTTTGCCGATTTGTCAATGGACAATATGTCATTATTTCTATTTTATCCGATAACTCATTCTCAACATCTTTCTTAATTCGACGCAACATGAAAGGCTTTAAAATCATATGCAATCTCGTTATTTGTTTCTCATCGATTCCAGTTTTATTTTCTGCATGACTCTCAATGTCTTTTGAAAACCATTCATTAAATTCCTCATGTGAGTCAAATAATGTTGGCATAATAAAGTGAAGAAGCGCCCAAAGTTCAGAACAGCTGTTTTGAATGGGAGTTCCACTAAGCAGTAGTCGATTTCGACAGTTGAATCCCAGTAAAAGTTTCCATCGAACACTTGAAGTACTTTTAATAGCTTGTGCTTCATCTAAAACCATGTATTGCCATTTAATACGATTGAAATATTTATAATCGGATACAACTAATTGATAACTTGTAATGACTACATGAAAGCTTGCGTCTTTTGTATGCAAATCTTTTTGATCCCAGAATTGTCGAAGAATCTTTCTCTGAGCTGGTGAACCCCAATAAGGAACAACTTTAAAGCCAGGCACAAATCTTTGCATCTCTTGCTGCCAGTTATGAAGTGTCGATGCAGGTGATATGATAAGAAATGGTCCATAAATTCCATAGTTTTCGGCAATATGACATAGAAATGCTATACTTTGTACTGTTTTGCCTAAGCCCATCTCATCAGCTAATATTCCACTGATTCCTTTGTGGTACAGATGTGCTAACCATGTCATACCTTTCAGTTGATATCCCTTTAATACACCTTTGAATGATGAAGGCTGTGGCAGTTCTGCAATAACATTTCCAGTGTTATCAATTTCTGGATAATTTTTTGGTTTATTTGCAATTCTATCGAATTCCAAACATTTTGCCATTTCTGTTTCAAAAGCATTTTGAACATTTTTCTGAGCTTCTGTTTTCATTATTTCACTATCATAACTATCAATAGCTGCTAATCTTGCAGGCATATCTTCATCCAATTGATTTAATATCCTTTGTGTTTCATTTTCTGACAATTCACCTTTATGAGACATAAAATGAGCATACAACTCCGTTTGAGTAATTAAGAAGTTTAACTTTCGTTGTTGTCTCTTAGCTTCAACAAGCTCAACATCCATTTTTCTTTGTTCTTCAGCTTCTTTCTCTAATCTTCTTCTGTTTTCACGTTCAACACGATCATATTTCTTCCAATAAGATAACATTTCACGTGTAAGTCGTTTTGCACGCCATATCGTTTCTTTTTGACGTTTTTGTGATTCCATTGCTTTTTGTCGAACAGCCTTTTGACATAAAACTGCTGTCTTCTTACAATTAGTAACCATTTCTTTATGATTATTTGCTTTTGTTCGTTGAAATTTGCCAACTTCTTTTTTAGCCATCATTTGCCAAATCTTTTTTCGACGATGATTCATTAATTCGGGTGTTTTGAGGAAACTCTTTCGTTTACGACCTCGACCTGATGGTGATTGTGGCCTTGATTGATCTGTCTCTTCCTCTTTAATATTCATAATTTGATCCTCCCAATCAACCTCACCAAAATCATTTGACAAGTTGGAATCTTCTTTTTCAATTTTAATTCGAGGTGGCATCACTTGATATTTCTTAGTTGATTTTAATGGCTTCTTATCTAAACGCTTCTTTCTTCTTTTACCTAAAACTGATTGCTTATGATCATGATACATATCATATTTTGATAATAAGCCAGCACTATAATAACCATATTGCGCATTCTAAAATTAAACACATTACGTCATAATTTCATATCTAAAATGTTAATCAAGTTCCTTACATTTGGATTTTGGTGATATTTCTCACGTATTTTCTTTTCCCGAACATAATCTGTCAACATTTCAGCAACATACCGATCCTCATCTGAAATTTCTGATTCACTTTCTGTGTCTGATAAGAGCACATTATAAAGCCATTTTCGTTCATCATCAATGTTCCCTGCTTTATACATCATTTCTTTTTCCTCGTATGTTGGACGTTTTTGTTGAAATTCATTTTCGGAATCTGTATCATCATCACTGTCATAGACTCTATTCAATAATTTTTCTGCCTCTGACATAAAAGGTTTTAAATCCAATGCTTTTTCTAATTTTTGCAAATATGCCGTTCTGGCCATATTCTTACTGCTCGCCATTTTTTTCTACAAATGACTGGGGAAAAAATAATTTTTACTAAAAAAATATTCTGTATAATCATGTCATCTTGGGTTCAAAGCAATAACAATGTTTTGCCGTTAAACTAGTTTCATTTAAATTTAAGTTTTTAAACTTGTCGACGATTAATCTATTATTTTAATTTTATAAATATTACTTACTTTCAATAGTTTTTAAATTTATATAAAAAATTCATTTATCACATGTGTAAAATTTAATAATTTTAGAATTTTATGAAAATAAGCGCAAATTTTAAATTTCTTGAGTTTATAAATTTTTTTCTCTGATCTGCTTGGAATATTTGTAAATATTGAAGTAATTTTAAGGATGGGTACCTCAAAATTACCGAAAAAATATTTGTTCGAAACTTTATAAAAGTTTCAACATTGAATCTCGGAAAACATAAATATTTTTATTTTTATTGTCAACAACTAATGCTTTGTAACAACAAAATGTAAATGACAAAGTCCCTATATGTCAATATGAATTTGAAAATTTCGATGTTTTAACAGAATTTTCCAGGCTCGGTAATTAGACGGTATTTAAGGGGCCGTTCACTTCGCATTTTAAGGGGAGGGGAGGGGGGGGGGGGGTGTTTGAAAAATTGTAACAAAATGTAACATAGGGGGGGGGGGGGGGTGTCAAGAAGAATGTAACGTTCTAACTGTCGTCTGTCTTTTAAAAAAAAGTTCATGATTTTAAATGTCCAGATCACTCTTGATAGCTAAGCAAAACATATTTTTTGTTATATAAAGCAACAAATCAATAGAAAACTGGTTTACAGGACTTTAAAATACAATCATAATTTGTGGAAATTTTCACAATTAAATCAATCATAAGTTTAAAAGTAAATCTCTCTAAATCTCTCTAAATCTGTCATTCATATTATGATTAAAATGATCCCATCACTGTGATATTTACATTCAAAGTTGATTGAATTTTCCAAAATTTGATGGGGTATAATAAATTTCACGAGATTTTTGAATTTTCTTCAAAACAAATTTTTGCTTTATATCTCAATCTAATAATTCATGAGAATGCTAATAGTATCAATCAAAACATGACCTATTTAGCTGTACAGTATTTTGATGTTTAAGGAAAAAAATACAAAAGAAATTTAACCGTCTTTTTAGAATAAAAAAATTATCAAAATAAAATAAATTATGAACGTTCAGGGGGGGGGGGGGGGGGGTTGTGAGTTGTAACATATTGTAACAAGGGGGAAGGAGGGGGGGGGGTAAAAAGTCGTCTTTTTGCGTAACGTAATAAGTGGAAAGTATTTGTATAGAAGTCGAGGGTATTTATTAGTTTCCGAGGCTAGAGATTTTCAAATCAAACGGCACGATAAAATAAATAAACATTGTTTGCTCATAAATGGAAAAGGATTGCATTAGTTATTCAATGTTTTAATCAGATTTAATAAGGTTTTGTGTGATTTATCAAAATCACAATTATTCAATCCAGACTTGCGTCATTTCATTTCGAAGAAATTCGAAATTGGCTTCAAAAATTCGAAATTTATTTCGAAAATTTAAACTCAATTCAACCGGTAAAACTTTAAAAAATTCTATGCTGAATTTTTGAGCATTTTAGCTATGATAACTAATGTCAACTCGCTTAGAATCAAAGCTTGTTATTTTTTATGAACATTGATAAGCTTTAAAATCACGAATATCAGGAAACAAAAGAGTTTTTTGCAGAAATATTTTCAAGAAATTTTTACACTAATACACTTACATTTTTTTGTTGACATTTTTCAATTTCAACTGAATTTTCTTAATTTAGGAATTTTCTTACTTGAAACTGCTTGAAACAATGATTAACAACTTACTGATCACATAATTAGTGATACTGATCGAAAAGCTTCATAATCTGTAGCTTAATTAAAGCAAAATTTTGTTTTATGCTTTAACGGAAAATAAATTTTGAATTTTTCAAAATTTTACATAACTGCCAAGATACGAAATGACGCAAGTCTGATTCAATCTTAACTCTTTAAATGAATGAAATTTTATCTGAATTATAGGACTGGATATGCCTGAATGACACAAGTCGGTTAATCGAATTGAAATCCGGTGCTTAGCCGGTATGACTCTAGCATGGTGCTAGCTTCGATTTAAATCCAGCACAATGCCAAAGTCACACAAGCTTGGTGCAGGATTTCTGATTAATTAACCGACTTGTGCCATTCTTGATAGTAATTGACAAGAGTAACAAAGCAATTGGGGATTTTCATTTTCAAGAGCACTACCTAAGAGACCATTCACTTATTACGTTACGCAAAAAAACTTTTTCACCCCCCCCCCCTCCCCCTTGTTACAACTCACAACCCCCCCCCCCCTTTTTCGTGAACTTTTTCTTAAAATAACGTTACATACTTCTTGACACCCCCCCCCCCCCCCCCCCCCTATGTTACATTTTGTTACAATTTTTCAAACCCCCCCTCCCCCCTAAAATGTGAACGTAATAAGCAATTTGAATAAAATCTTTAATCGATCGGTGGAATAGACTTAATACTGCTTTACCTAACTTTTCAAACGTCTCAATAAAACGTAATCTTCATGTTAACACGTTTACACATTGTTCAATTTCATAATTAAGCTTCTAATTTTATTTGAACATGTCTACACTAGTCTTTATGTTCAAAAATAAGGAAGTTCTAAAATAAAAACATCCAAATCCTAATTAAATTCAATGTTTAGTCATGCATGTAAAGGCGAATCTCTTGATTCCAATAAGTTATCATCTTTTTATATCATTTTTCATATTCTTTTTCTTCTGGATAACCAAGAGCAAGTGCATGACATCAATACTTTTTACTTTCAATTGTTAATCCAATTAACACGAGAACATTTTATGGCACTTTAAGAATCTTTCACACACATTGACCTTGTGTGGTGTTGACTTTAATTATTATTGCTCCTATTTCAGTTTGCTTCCTTGTTATGCCATATTGTGTTTATGAGCACTTATCGGCTGCTTCATTTCGCTTTTCATAATTTTTAATTTAATTAACGTTCGTATCGACTCGAAGACAAATTTTTATAGACTCGTGCAGGTCAGTTTTATTTGAAACTCTTGCCTGTTCAGTTGGAAAACCTTTAGAAATAAGAAATTAATTTAAATTAATGATTAATCATGGCATTCTTGTGGATTAATAGTTAAATGCTGAACATCCAGCAATGATGAATTATTGTCAAGTTTTGTGCTCTGAAATTAAGGATATTAATAATATTTATTAAGTACAGGATAATTAAAAGTATCAGCAAATGACATTAGAGAAATGTGATCAATACTGACTAAAAGTTTATAGTTGACAATTAGTTGTTTTTGAGAATTTTAAGAACCTTAAAATGCATTTTTATTTCTATTAAACTTTGGAAATACTCATTTTCATATTTGTTTAATTAAATTAGCGTTAAAAATAACATTGAATGAAGATTGGTAAAGGCAATTGGAGAAAAAAAAAATTGGGTCAACGACTGAAAATAGAAGCCCAATAGATTTTCTATTTGCTCATTGATTTTCCTTCTTGCTCTGATTGATGTTAAGAATTATGCTATCTAAGATTTTATTGTCTGCATGTATCTTAACTAATATTTTCTCAGTTGTCAATAATTCACATCATAAGCATCGGTAAGAAATATTAATAGAATTTATGCATGCTAATATTTAAATATATTAAAATAAAGCTACATACCGGAAATTTACAGTAATGTAACGGACAGTGCAGAGTTAGTCCACAATCACGAAATGAGCTTGGAATTATCGGATATACTGCCCATAAAACAAAGAAGTTATGACAAGAATAGAGCACCAAAGTTTCGAGGACAACCAACGACGGTTTACTTTCACGTAACAGTTCTTTCCATCGACTCGATCAATGAAGAATCGATGACTTATGTTACTGACATTTTTCTTGTAAGGAAACGTAATTAAACGTGGAAACATAACATTTGATGACACACATTTAAAGGATATTTGAAGATTTTTTTCTCATTTTTTAAAGTATTTTGTTTAAAGACCCTCGCCCCTCATGTCCCCTTTGACTAATATTTTTTTTTTCTCCTGATGAACTAGAAAACTGTGTCAATCAAGTTCGAATCCCTTAGTCATAACATAACTGATATCCTTAGTATAATTAATTTATATAACAAATATTTAAAGGCTCAAAGTTGGAGAGATCCACGTCTTAGGTTGCCAGACGACATGACTGAAGAGTATAGAATTTTAGATGTGGAATGGCTACATTCTATTTGGAGACCAGATTGTTTCTTTAAAAATGCCAAGAAAGTTACATTTCATGAAATGACAATACCCAATCATTATTTATGGCTTTATCATGATAAAACACTGCTTTATATGTCAAAGTAAGAACAGAACGTGCATTTTAATAAGCAACAGTGTAATAACTGTGGATATGCATCTTTTATAGATTAACTCTCGTCTTATCTTGCGCCATGAAGTTTGAATCTTATCCACATGATGTTCAAGTTTGTTCTATGATGATTGAAAGTCGTAAGATCGATGAGTTTAAATAAATGGAAACAACTTACTTTTTACAAATAAATTCTTAATTCACAGTATCGCACACAGTTAAAGATCTTGTATTTATATGGAACATGAGTGATCCACTCGTCGTAAATGATGAAATAGAACTTCCACAACTAGATATATCAAACAATTACACAATGGATTGTACGATACCTTATTCTACTGGAAATTTCACATGTTTAGCTGTTGTTTTTAATCTAAAACGACGTCTGGGGTATCACTTGTTCCATACATACATTCCATCGGCACTTATTGTTGTCATGTCATGGATTTCATTTTGGATTAAACCAGAGGCTATTCCTGCTAGAATCACGCTAGGTATGTTGTTATGATTTAAATGGCTGCTAAATCATAAAGCATTGCTTTTATTGTTCAAGCCTTATGTCATTTAACTTAATTACGATTCTTATTTCCAGGTGTGACATCACTTCTTACACTAGCAACACAAAACACACAATCACAGCAAAGCTTACCGCCGGTGTCCTACGTAAAAGCTATAGATGTGTGGATGTCAAGCTGCTCAGTTTTTGTTTTCTTGTCTTTGATGGAATTTGCCATTGTTAATAATTATATGGGACCGGTCGCAACGAAATCTATGAAAGGATATTCAGACGAAGATTTAAATGCCGATGATGACTTTAAGAACGGAGAACATCGTCCATCACTTCCACAATACGATACATTCTGCAATGGAAGAGAAATTGCACTTTTTATCGATCGTATGTCTCGATTTTTCTTTCCTTTTTCATTTCTAATTCTCAATGTCGTCTATTGGACGACCTTTCTTTAAAGAAAAGTATTTAAATTAAATTTAGTTGAGGCAAGAGCTTAGAATTAAGCAGTCAATATTTAAAGGGGTTGTTTGCATATTTCGTAACACTTGAAGTTGCCATGATCTTATCAAATTTTGTGACAAGAACAGAAAAATGGAGCTTTAAAAAACTTGGAAGTTCCGTCTACCCCAAAAGTTACGAAATATACAAACAACAGCAATCCAATTGTTTACACACATGATTGTAAATACATAATTAGTTAAATCACTACATTAATAAATCAGAAATTCTCTCATAAGCCATATGAAATTGAGTCAATATGAAAAATATTCTTTTCTGTCTATTTTTAAAATTTGTGTCTTATTTACTTTCCGCACATGTGGTACATTGCAGTCTTTTCGTTACGGGGGTCGTACGGAAATTACGAAGTTAAAAGGACCAGTTTTATTTTATATTGGATATGAAGCAGTGTCGTGTGATTACTTACTTACTTACTTTCTTGGCTGGGGCGCACGTGGGCCTATTGCCACGCTTAGAGATCGTCTGAAGACAGCTCGATCATTAGAAACATTCTGCCAGTTCGGGATATTAAGAACTCTAGCGTCCTTTTCAACACATCGAATCCACGAGATCTTCGGTCTTCCTCGTGATCTCTTGCCATCCATAAAGTCTGCTACTGTCACTTTTAGTACTAGAGCATCTTGTGTGCGTCTGAACACATGTCCAGCCCATCTCAAGCGATTTACACGGAGAACTGTAGCAATATAAGCTGTTGTGTGGTTAAGAGATTTAATTTAAAATCGTTTTATCTGGTACGGATCATACGAACAGCACCTTTTCCCAAAAAAATCATCACTTACGTAGATTTTCTAAAACATTCTCAGTTTATTTTAATTCAATAGTCTTTTTACTCGAAAAAAAAATGAAAAACATTTCGTTTTGTGATTTCATTGTGAGCAGTTTTGAAGCAAATTAATTGCAATTTTTTGAAAATTTATAAAATGGTTGAAATTGAGGCTCAAAAGCCTTCCAAAGATTGTGCTCATGAGCATGTATTTCAAACATTGTTAACAGCACTTGTTGGATTTGTTTTGTCAATTTTCCTCATTTTGATCGCTCTAATAATTCTAGTGAGATTTTGGGCCTTTGAAAATATTTGGTATGCTGTATTTGTTTTGTGCCACTTACTCATCGGAGTGATCTTTAACATCGCATCAGTTAATCTTACACTCAACGAATATCCTGAAAGTTTACACATCTTGCCATTTGTGGCTGGCTTACCAATAACGATATATTGGTCGATCTTTTGCATTGTTATTCCATATTTTAAGGATGACATATTTTCTCAGTTCTCGCAGCTTCCAATCGCAACTTATGACAGTGTGTTTTATGATGGATTAGGATACAATCCTGAAAATGTATCAATTCATCCTTTTGCAAAAGCTTTTCAATCTGAAAGTTCACTTTTTGCAAACACAACATTAATCGTCATCTTATTCGTGATCCTCGGAAGTAAGTTGATTTTTTTTCTTCTGAAACAAACCTTCATTTTAATTAAGTAATGTAACTCGGACTGTGAGTTTTAGGTACAGAAATAATTTAATGATCAAACATCTGTTTTGTATTTAATTTCAGTCGTGCAGATCGTCTTCTGGATAAACACAATTGCATTTTATTATAAAATTAAGAAAGAAGAAATTGTGCTGTCAAAAATAGAAATTGAAGAACCAAAAGAACGTTAAATTAATAAAATTATGACAATTTATTAAGCATGTGTAATTTGAACATTCATTCCTCGGTAATCACATTGTGGAGTATGGAACGGATTAAAGATTCCTTCGCTGTATTTACAGGTGTACTTTGCTGCAAATTCATATGATGGTTGAAAATCTCCTGGACATTGAAGCTCACATTCCATTTTATCATAATAACCTTTACATGCATACAGCCCATTAAATTTCAATTTTTTTGGAGAGCAACGATCAGTTGTGTATTGACACAAATTTCCTTTAAATTCAGTTGGACATTTACATATATCTGGTGCAATGCATGTTCCTCCATTTTGACAATATGGGTTACAGGAAGCTGTTGATTAAGCAGATAATCATCACAAATTTTATAGTAGGATTTTTGCAGGATAACTTACGTTCACATTTTTCAAATCTTCTTGGTTCCATTGACCACATTCCATTTCTACATCTCAGGTCGGAAGTTATTGTACCATCGGGAAACGTATGTCCTATTCCAAAAAATTATAAATTCAAATTAAGTGTCTTAAATTGATGCTAAGTTATAAGTCCAGAGATTATAAGTCCAGGTACAAAAATCGTGCACAGAAAATTATAAGTCCAGAAAATCAAAGTCATTAAAGGCTTATAAGTCCAGATACAAATTACACCTGGACTTAAAAACCTCACGTGCAGTTCATAAGTCCAGGTACAAATACAGCTGGAATTATAAACTGCACGAGAGGTTTTTAAGTCCAGGTGTAATTTGTATCTGGACTTATAAACCTTTAGTGACTTTGATTTTCTGGACTTATAATCTCTGGACTTATAACCCAGCATCTCTTAAATTATATGAAAACTCACCTTCTACACATGTAACCTTACAGCTTTGAGTGCCACTGAAAATAAATAGAAATGCCGTTATTTTAAAAAACTAATAAAGTTGCGTGCATTACGAGATTATGCATTTTCCCATCGTATTTCCTGGCATTGGTATTTTTTCAGGACAGGTCTGTTGAAAACACAAAATGATACAAGTTAAATTGCCTATGATTAATTTCTTAGACATCTACCTGAATCTTCTTTTCACAATTTCTGCCTGCATATTCTTGGCTACAATGGCATTCATTAGTATCAATGCAGATTCCTCCATTCAAACAAGCTGGCGAGCAAGTTGCTATTATTAAATAAAATTCATTAACTGATAAGATTATCAATAAACGTGAGCTTTATTACGTGAGCAATCGGGAATGGCATTTCCATAGCTCCTTACGCCCCAATTTCTACCATTATAACACACCAAGTCGAGACTTTTTTCACCTTCTGGAAATCTATATTCTCCTGTGCACTCTAGTTTGCATCCCAAATAATTACAAGTTAATTTTGATCCAGGAACTGGGCGAGGATCATCAATACAAGTCAGATTGCCTAATTTATAAGCATCTGTAAGGTCCAATGCTAATATAAGTATAAATATAAACACAACACTTTTATTGAAGGTAAACATCTTTCCAGAGATGATTTTTGTTCAACAATTAAAGAGAGACTGACTTAATAAAATCTCAACTAGAAGCTTTATCTGTTTATAGATGTTTGAAAGTGTAGGTCACTCGAGATCAAGTAATTTTCGTTCAAAATATTCTTGCTTGTATGAAAAAATAATTAATTCAAATGAATGCATGAAAAGAAATGAATCTGAGAGATGCTGTAAATTTCAAATTAATGTGTAATACTCTTAGGAATCACATGTTGCTCTCGTTAATCCTATCGTGACTGTCCTAATTCTACGGAGGATGTTCATCACTTGTTTTTGTAAGATAATTAAGCTTTTAACGATGACAATCTGTTACTTAACGATACTGAAAGATTGCCTGTAATTTCAAATAAAAAAAAAAGAGCTTTTAAGTTTCCTTAGAAAAAAGAGACTTTATTACAATCATGTAACAAAACTATTCGATGTTTTACAAAGTTACAGTAATAAAAATTTAACATAATCCACTCATTATCAAGTAAAAGGAAATTTTTGAAAGCACAAAACCCGTTCAAAATTAATTTTAATTAATCACATCACATAATTTAATTTCGGAAATGTATTAATTCAGTTTCTTGATAGCACCTCACAGTAAAAAAGAAAGTACGTTTAATAGATCAATTTTCACTTAACGTTAAGTTCTTCAATAATAAATAAGTAGAAAAAAATAATCATGGAATTATTGAAGTAGCTGAAGATCACCTAGTTCCTTTACAATTCTATTGTACTTGGTCCTTCATGCTTTAAGACCTTCATTGGTTCCTTAGTTTTAGGCGGTGGAGTATCCTTTACGTCTTCATGAATTGGAATTTCATCAGGAACTTTTCTAGGTGCTTCTGCATTACTCTTTTGCTTTTTCTTTGGTTCCTATAAATTGATTGCATGAAAAATGTTGTGAATTTTTTGGATACTCGAATGAAAATTAAATAAATTGTGCTTGAATGTGTCGAAAAATGTTAGGATTTGTAAGTAATATTAGTGAGTTAAAGATCTTTCTTTTCATGTTCCTTATTATATTTGTTACTGTCATATTTCTCGTCATTTTTTTGTTTCAGATCATCTGTCTTCTTTTCTTCATACTTTTTGCCATCGTCTCTAATCTTCTTGTCCTCAGTCTTGATTTTGTTTTTATAAGATTTAATTTTAAGGAATTAGAAAATATTTGTTAATCTTTTTGTAAGCATATCTTAGAGCACAACGCCAATTTCACTCAAAGAATCTTACATCTCTTTCATGAAATCAACTGTGTATTAAGTAAAACCATGTACCTGAGTGGGTTTAGTGTCTACTACTTCGGGTGCCTATTTACATTATTTTTGTATTAGTTATATTTATTTATTGTGAATTAGGTATTAAAGTATGATTACCTTTGTAGGTTTTTTAGTAGTGGTCGTAGTCTATGAGTTAATTCAAAGGAAATCATAAATTGTAAAGTATCAAATAAAATTAATAAGAACTTACCGCCTTTTCAGTTGTTGTCTCTACCTTTTGAGTTGTTGTTTCAGGTTTTTTGGTTGTTGTTGTTTCAGGCTTTTTAGTCGTTGTTGTTGGAGCTTGAGTTGTTGTGGTTGTCGGAGCTTGGGTTGTTGTGGTTGTTGGTGCTTGAGTTGTTGTGGTTGTTGGTGCTTGAGTTGTTGTGGTTGTTGGTGCTTGAGTTGTTGTGGTTGTTGGTGCTTGAGTTGTTGTGGTTGTTGGTGCTTGAGTTGTTGTGGGTTTTGGAGCCTGATAAAATGTTTAATTAGGATGAATTTTTAAAAATCTTTTAACTATTCATACCTCAGTGACTGTTTCACGTTTTACTTTTTGTGCTGGATGAATTTTATCCTTGTTGACGAACCAAACACGTCCAATGAAATCAGCATAAGGTGATCCAAGATAGAGAAAATCTCCAAATTCCATTACATGTGAAACTGTATTGAGCGTTTTATCAAACCCATGCAAGCTACCAATAATTTTGCCATTCCAGTCCATTCTGACAATTGTTTTACGATCAGGATAAAGGAATGAAAGTGATGGTAAGCTTCCAATTTTGTAAGCGATAGATTTGGTGTATGGATTTGGATACATTTTTGTGATGAATTCAAAAGGCAACTCAACGAGATAAAGCAATCTAAACAAGAATTTTCTAACATAAGGTAATCTAGTCAATGAATGTGGAAGCATTGGGTTTTCTGGATCAGCAGCAACAACAAGTGCAACCCAAAGTCCATCCTCATCAGGTGTAATATTATCTGGAAGCCCAGGAAGACCTTCAACAAATGCTTCTAATTGTCCCTTCTTTTCACCATTGAGCCAGTATCTTTGAATTCTTGATCCCATTGTTTCAGCGAAAACAATAAAATCTTCATTTGGCGATAATGCAATTCCATTGGGGAACCATAAATTATCCAAAATAACTTTGACTTCCTTGGACTTTCTATCAATATGAATTAAACGACCTTCTGGATTTGAGAAGAATGAATAAGCTCCATTATCCATTCCAAAGTCGGATAAAGAATGACTGAAGAAAATATCTCCATTCTCGGCAACAGCAATTGAGTTGAACATTTTTGCTACTCTTGGATTCTATAAAAGGAATATCAATAGGAATCAGTCACAAATGCCAAAAATTAATCAAAAATTATACTCACATTCTTTCCTAATTCTGCATTTGGCTTGACAATTTGCTTCTGCTCGAAAGTTTTAACATTCAATTCCCAGATTCCATAGTAAGCATCAGCAACAATCAATTGATCAGGATTTAGTGTATCAAATGCCATTCCAAGAGGTCGTCCACAAATTGATTCTTCAGTTGGATAGTCGCAAGGCTTTCCAAACTTTGCAATGAATGTAATATGATCTCCATCGATTCTCACAATGTTGCCATTATGAAGAGATGCATAATATGATTTTCCTGCTGGCAGAAGAAATTCTGGTCCAGGAAGCTGACCTTTCAATAACTGATCAGCATGATCGAGATGATTATTTACTTCTAAAGCCCCTGTAAGTGCCTTTGGCTTAACAATACTTAAAGGAAAATTGTTTGATTAATCTAATGTTAAGGAATAAGGAATATTAAACTGAGTTTAATTGGAAATGCTACAAGATTCATGTTTGATTTTTTTTTTTATTCACAATTAGTTTATGTTGAGGAATAAAGAGGTAGTTAAATTATTACTGATATCCTCTGATACATAATGTTTCATGAAAGCTTTTATAAAAGCTCAATAGAAAACTATCAGATGGAATGCAATTAATCATGATTTCTACGATCAACTCTGGCAATATAGTCTTGGAAAAATGATCCTAAATACAATTTTCCATCATTGGTATCCAATACATGAGTATAAGACGAACCATCAAACGAATGATAAGATTCAATGACTTCACCATTCCAATTTAAACGAATTATCGATGAACGCTGTGGATACAAAAATTTATAAGATCCGAAAGAGTCAATAGTAAGTGCAGCGGACTTGATAGCTTCATTAGGAACATAGGAATAAATCTTATTTAAGAGCGCACCAGTAAGATACAAAGCGCGAGCAAAGAACTTTCGGATTGTTGGGTATTGAGATAATTTTTGGAAAAATAGCATGTTGTCTGGTTCTGATGCGATCGGAATTGCAACCCATAAACCTTTCTCATCAGGAGTTAAATTATCAGGAACTCCAGGTAGGTTGTCAACAAAGATTGTATGATAATCAGCCTGCTTGCCAGAAATGTAGTATTTTATCAATCGATTCCTTCCCAAATCAGAAACAACAACGAAATCTTCATTTGGTGAAAGAGCAACACCATTTGCAAAGAAAAGTCTATCCAATAAAACTGTCGTCTTCTTTGTTTTACGATCAAATTTAATCAATCGCCCAGATGGGTTTAAGAAGAAGCTTAAGAAAATTTGATTTAATTCCACATCGGAAGTTGACGAAGTGTAATAAATGTCCCCATTTTTAGCAACTGCCGCAGAGTTGACCAACTTTTGTTCTCTTGGATTCTAAAATTAAAATATTTTAAAAATAAGGTTCGGGATAAAGATTAAAGACGTTACTTCTCTTCCGACTTCTTCATTATTGAAAATAACGCGCTTAAGTTTCTTAGTCTTAACATTCAATTCAAGAACTCCAAGAGATGAGTCCATAACAATAATTGTATCATTCTTTGATGGATCCCATGCTAAACCTAATGGACGTCCACACATTGGAATCTTTTCATTATTAGCTAAAAAATTCAATTTCTTTATGACTTCTTGTTCTACTAATAAATTCGTTGACTACTCACTGCAATATTTTCCAAACTGACTAAGCACTTCAACTTCTTCACCAACAATTTTTACAACAGTTCCATCAGTCGAACTTGCATAAAAAATTCCATCCTTTTCAAGTATATGTTCTGGTCCGAGAATTTTGCCTTTTAATAAAATTTCTGGGTTTTCGAGGTAATTGTTCGGCTCAATGCTTCTCGGCCTTGAGACACTGCAAATTTCAATGAAATTTGTGAGACTTTTTGGATCTAAGTTCGTTAAGAATGATTCAAAGATTGGATGGACTTACATGCAAGACAATAACGATGGAAACAAAAATGTTTTCTTGTTAAAATTTATTTTAAAATTAATCATGCATATTATGTCCAATTTTATTAAATTTTGTCATGTTTTAAAAAATGTGTTCCATTTGTAAATTAATTTCCAGTAATTTCAATATTTGTACCCAAAAAATATCAATAAAATGTATAAAAATAAGTCATATTATGCAATTTAAGTATACAGAATACTGCTTTTAATTTGAGTCATTAAGGCTTACACGTCCAATAAACTTGCTTATAACTGATCCAAGATAAAGTTGATTATCAACTTCCAAAGCATGTGTAATCATGCCTAATGTGCCATCAGTTCCATGATATGATTTAATGATATTTCCATTCCAATCTAGTCGAATTACTATGCGATGTTTTGGTATGAAAGGTTCAAAATTTTCAGTCTTTCCCAAGTTGATAGCGACATAATTGGACATTGGGTTTGGATAAATTGAATTAATAAATCGGAAGGGCATTAAAATTAGCTCAATAAATCTAGCAACAAATTTTCGAATCAATGGATAGCTAGAAAGCTGATGTGGAAGTGATGGATGCTTTTCATCTACAACACCTGCAAGTGCAACTAAAATTCCTTTCTTATCTGCTGTTAAATTATCAGGGTTTCCAGGAAGTCCAGTAAAGAAGTCTTCATGTGTGCCTTTCTTTTCTCCTTTAATCCAATACTTGATCAATCTTGATTTAAAAGTTTCAGCAACAACAATGTAATCATTTTCTGGGGAGATAACAACACCATTTGCAAAGTACAGTTGATCCAACAATACTTTTGCAACTTTCCTGTGTTCACGACAATAATGAATTAATCTTCCCGAAGGATTTGGAAAGCCACTGTTTAAAACCTTATCAATGTCATATTCTGATGATGAATGTGTAAAGTAAATATCGCCATTTTTAGCAACAGCAACAGAATTGAATAATTTGCATGCTCGCGGATTCTAAATTAAGTTTTTAAGAATTAAACAAGGCAAAATGTCAGAAATAAGGTAACAACTCTCAATAAGACGTCTGTGCTTTAAAGAAGCTATAAACTCGGAATATCGTAATTATTGGAAGTTGTCACTTGATTAACTTGAATTTTAAGCTCTTACATTTTCGCCAATAACTTCATCATTCTTAACCAAATGTTTCTGTTCTCCATTTTCAATGTTAACTTCAAAAATGCCAAGGTATGAATGCGAAACGATTAAATTATTTCCCAGTGTATCAAAATCCATGCCTAATGGTCGACCACAAGGGACACTTTCAAATGGATCCATGTTATCTGAATTAATTATACATTAATTACTATTTCTGTGATTTTATGGATGTTATTAACGAAGACTTACAACACGATTTTCCAAAACTTGTAAGAATTTTGATTTCATTATTAACAATTTTAACAATCTCATTTGTACGTAACACAACATAAAACACTCCATCCCGCTCAAGAATATGCTCTGGTGAATCCAATTTTCCCTCAAATAACCGCTCAGCATTATTAAGCAATGAATTAATTTCTAACGGTCCTTCAAGTTTTCTTACTTCTCCAATACTGGAATGTAAATTTTTTACAATCATTTCTAAGCACCAATTCATGTATGAGGGATTCACGAAAGTTTAAGCAATGCGTCATGCACGACTTGTTAGCTTATAAAATAACACAAAACTCTTAACAAATCACCAAAACAATCAAAATTGCAATCATGTTATCATTTATGGGAATAATTTACGGGATATTCAATAAACTGTATATGATAGTCCCAAAAAACCGTAATCCACATGCTGTATAGTCTTTAAAAATGTATATGTGATTGAACTGTAGAAGTATGTGAGAGAATTTAACGCTTAATAAATATTCTTAAAAACATCCAATAAAACCAAGGTCAAGAATTATTCGATAAGCACGTCAATGATTTGTTCATTTATAAGATAGTTCTTAATTATATTTACTCATATAGTCAGTCATGATGAGCTGAATTATTATGAAACTCGAGATATTTAAATGACAACGCATAATTGAACACGTCTTAATTATATCGGTTTTAAATTGTCTACTTTATATCTCTAAAATCAGGAAAATGACAAGTGAATGAGTTTATGCTTTAAAATACAACTAAGAATTGTTCACGATTCTTAAAGAAAGCCTTAATAACCTTTGATTCTTAATGAATTAAACAGCTTACAGTGAAGTTAATACGTCATGCTTTTAATGAATATCAAGCAAAAGCAAAAAGATTAATTCATATACCAAAAGTAAAATAATCAACGACATTTGTGTATGGGCTGATAAACCAAGCGACCTTAGTCTGAACTTGTTATGTAATGCCGAAAAGCATATTAAATTGTTGTTATCAAATGCAATATTTCAGTTAATGCGCAGGTCTTGATACTTTTCTAGGCCACGTGTAATCGTTTTAAAATGATAAGAAATCACAGAGAGTTCAATCAACTTGCCGGTATTGCTTGCAAATTGTTGTTTTTACCGGCTTTTTGCACATATATCTACGTATGACTCTTATTCATTCATTTTTACAATAAAAAAAATCATGGAAAAGAAACAGTATGAACATGTATAATGTGGTATGAATGAGTACGTCAGCACCGCAACAAAATGAAAAAAAAATGTTTCTATTATAGTAAAATGTATTCTATTCTAGTATACCTTATACTGGATCTTCAAAAATAAGTTTATGGATCTTTTGCATTTCCAATTAATAAATTTCCCAATTAAACAGACAATTTATAGTACATACCTGAATTCCTCAAAAGGGAAAGTCGTCTTAGGTCCTAATCCAGGCGAAAATGTGATGATTAGGAACACAATAGTAAAATTAATTAACCAATTTAAAACTCGTTTAAAAACCATGATTATAGACTTTAATTAAAACTTTTTAAAACAATATTGATTTTTAAATCAAATAATTGGCACTTTTCCCGATGTTCTCCTAGCTAATATTAAGTATAACGTCTACTTAATTAAGAAAACTTCAGACGACTGGAACTGAACAACTTTCTTACACCTTTACAAAAAGAAAAGATTTTCAATAGTCCAAAACCCTACAAAATAAATGGTTTCTTTTAAATTTTTTTTTGACAGTTTCACTTTGAATTTCCATGAAAAAACAACATCACTGACAAAAATTTTAAAACGTTTCAAAACAAAACGAAATATTTTTATTAATTTCATTAATTTTAAGAGCTATTCACTTGTTTAAAAATGTTAAATTTACAATCATATGGAAGCAGTAGTGAAGGAGATTCAGAAAGTGATGAAAAGTCAACAGCAGAAGTGAAAACAGAAGAGTTATTGCATTTAAAGCCAATTTCAATAGAATATTCAATAGCGAAATCCTTACAAGTTCAAGCAGCTCCTCTCGTTGTTCCACAAGAAAGACAATTGGCAGAACGAGCAATTAACCCAACAGAAAAGGAACTATCATATAATCCAAGGTAAGCTTTTATACGCATTATTTGAATAAACACACAATTTAAACATGATTTCTTATTTTAATTAAGGTATGAGGAACTATTTGCTCCAATTCACGGACCTGATAATCCATTTTTAACTGAACAACAAAAACAGCCGAAAAATACAGCAACTGGATATATTGAGCCTGCACACGTAAGTGACTTTCAATTTGAGAATCAGAGAAGAACATTTCATAGCTATGGATATGCTTTGGATCCATCTGCTGAGAGTCAAATCGGAGGAGAATCATATATTGGTCCAAATCTTGAAGGAGCTTATAATACAGATGGAAAGACAGTTTTTGAATCAAACAAATTAAAACTTGAAGCCAGACGAAGGAGACATAAAAATGACGATCCAGCAGATCTAGAAGGATTTTTGGGTCCCTGGGGAAAGTATGTTGATGAGAAGCTTATTGCACAGCCATCAGATCAAGAAAAGGCTGAAATTGAGGAAATGATGGCAAAGAAACAGCGCAGAAACAAACGTGAAGTTGAAGAGAAGCCAGTCGAAGAGAAATCAATTCTTCACATTAACGATTCCGTTGATTACCAAGGAAGATCATTTTTACATCCTCCGCATGATGTTGGCGTTAGCTTAAAAGCGGGTGCTCATCCAGATCGTTGCTTCCTTCCAAAAGCACACATTTACACTTGGACTGGACATACGAAAGGAATTTCAAGTATCAAATTGTTCCCGAAATCTGCTCATTTACTGTTATCGTGCAGCATGGATACAAAGATTAAAATTTGGGAAATGTATAATGAGAGACGATGCATACGAACATATTCAGGACATAGGCAAGCAGTTAGAGATGTTGATTTCAATGCTAAAGGAACTCAATTTGTATCAGCTGGTTACGATCGATATCTTAAACTATGGGATACAGAAACTGGAAGTGTTGTTTCAAGATTCACGTCTAGGAAAATTCCATATTGTGTCAAATTTCATCCAGACTTTAATAAACAGCATCTCTTTGTTTGTGGAACTTCTGATAAAAAAATTTTATGTGTAAGTACTGAGAATATTTTGTTGTTAATTAACTAGACAAATTAATGATTTTTCTGTTATTTACAGTGGGACACGAGAAGTGGAGAAATTGTTCAGGAATACGATCGACATTTAGGAGCTGTGAATACAATTACTTTTGTAGACGAGAATCGAAGATTTGTGACAACATCAGATGATAAATCATTGAGAGTTTGGGAGTGGGACATTCCAGTTGACTTAAAATACATAGCAGATCCATCGATGCACTCAATGCCAGCCGTTGCATTGTCACCAAATGGAAAGTGGCTAGCTTGTCAAAGTTTAGATAACAAAATTGTAATATTCTCGGCACTCAATCGATTCAAGATGAATAGAAAGAAGACATTTGAAGGACATATGGTTTCTGGCTATGCATGTGGCCTCGATTTTTCCCCAGACATGTCATACTTAATAAGTGGAGATGGTGATGGCAAATGCTACATTTGGGATTGGAAAACAACAAAATTGTACAAGAAATGGCAAGCACATGATGGTGTTTGTATAAGTACTCTGTGGAATCCACACGAGTCCAGTAAAGTCATCACAGCAGGTTGGGATAGTACAATTAAGTTGTGGGATTAGAGAAACAATTTTTGAATTAACTTTTTTCCAACAAACTTTTAATAAAAACAAATTGTTGTTCTTAAAAAATTCAAATTGTCTTTCAACATGTCTTTAAGACATTTTGTTGCATGAACATTTTTTATCCATCGCAATTTTAAAATTATACCGTTGTACGTGTTGGCTTGTTTGGGTCCAATTCAATTTCTAGGAGATCTCTGTAAAGTGAAACTGCACAAACCCAGAGATAAACTTGTAAGGCTGAAACAAAATGAGATCAATCAATACATGCCAAAAATCTTTAAATTAAATAGTTGACATTACCAGCAAATGCAAAATATCCAAAAGCTATCAACATGTCAGAGTCAAAAATTTCAATCGTCCCTAAAATAATTGCCCAAACAGCGCTAAAAAGGATTCCAATCAAGAATGGGTAGACATGATGAGACATTCTCTGTAAAAGAACAAATTATGATTATTAAGACTGACATTAGAAATGTAAATTCTTACTTTAGCGCTTCCGTACAACATAAAGCCGGATGTAATTAAAAACAAAAATCCACAGAACATCAATGAAATGTAAACCAGCCCTAGAAATTCAAAAAAAAAACAGATGTATATAATGTGGTCAATTAAAGACTTGATGCCGATAAGTTTTTTAAATGCTTGAGTTGAATCTTGATCAGTCAAGAGCTGCTGGATTTTACTTCAATGTTCAACTTTAAAAATGAATTTTAACTGAATTTTTAAGCCTAATTTCCTGTAGCTAGGCCCAAGAAGATGAGACAATTCTTCTTTGGACATTATTTCCACTAAGTCAGAACATCATCATCACTTACAAATATTATCATCGTCGTTATTTAAGGCATCATCTTCCTCAAGTGTCTTCTCAAAAGCATGTGGATTGTAAAGAACATAGAAAGATCGAGCAAGATAGGCACATCCTGTAATCACTCCAAATACCGACATCATTGTGCCACCAGCATTCATGTCAAAGCAGAAGCAACAATTGCCTACTCGAGGTATATTGCTAGCGTTGAAAGAAAAAATAAACATCGTTAAAAAGGAAGTCTACTTTTACAATATTAACATGAGTATATCCATTAAAATTTTATGGAATTGCTGGATTTAAACAAATCATTAAGTATCTATTAGCTTCCTCATTAAGGTTTATAAATCTGAATGTTATTGTTATCACATCATTTATTTTAGATCCGATTTAAAAGAAAATGATCGAAGAAAAAAAAAAATGCCACTTTATTCTTTGTCGGAGTCAATTTATAGCACTTTGCTTTCTATTTTTAACAGACGAACAAAAAATGAGAAAAGAAAATTTTTAATTTTATGGGTATTATCTGCTAATGATGTTGCGTATTACTTATTTCTTCTCTATAGAGCTTATTCAATCTTAGTCTTAAAACCTATTCACATTCCACTTTAATAGACCCCACAAAAATGTCAATGAATATTTCCTTTAAACTTTCTTCATTTGAAATACTTTAATCATTAATTAACCTTTCATATTTCTGTATAGCTCTTGGTGTCGATGCCATTTTTTATTGTTACTGATCACAATTATTTTTCCTTCAATTTCCTCTTCCGCTCGCGACAGTAGATATTGTTTCAACTGCTTCTCACTGATAAAGACTAGCACTTGTGCGAACTTCAAGGAAAATCTTCATACTGAATATGAGAGCTCGCTCATTTACATTGTAGAGTTTTTCCGAAACGAAAAGAAGAAAAGCAGACAAGTTAGAAATACTTTGTTGATCAATAGGTTAACTATGTTGGGTCTAGAGCTCTCTTACTTAGGGATGAAATCTTATCGATAAAAGCTGAGCACGTTTATGAAAATTCAATTCAACTTCGAGCACTAGAAAATTATAATTTGTACTTAGTACTATTGGAAGGCTGAAAAGGTTCCATAAGAGAGTATAGGGAGTTCAGCATAGGATATTTTTTGACTCTTACTTTTTTGAACTTTATAAAATTGCAAATGAAATTTATAGAATTTCTCTTTAGATTTGATGAATATTTAACATTATAGGAGTTGGTTCTAATCTCACTAGGAAATGTTGGTCTAGGTTTGAGCACTCGTTTCCTTGAAGATCGTTTGACAAACTGCAAAAAGTAATACCGCATTCTCATCTGAGTAAATTCATTGAAGATGATCGTGCGACTATTTTCTTCTCCTCCTTATTCTCATTTGGATGTTCTTCTTCTCCTCGACAGTCGTATTTATGAAGTAAATAAAAATAATATTTTTAAAAGAAAAGTAGACATTATAGGTGCTGTAAACATGTTAGCTAGTAATATAATATTAATGACTCATATTGAAAATTATTCATCTCCGCAAAACAACTTCTTTCATATTTTGCTAAATGGGATAAAGGTGAAGAACAACAAAAATGTAAATACACAACAATATTGTGCATGCATTAAATCCAGACCACGTTGGCTGTGACCATATGGTTTTTTTTATTGTATCATCGCTCTCAAAACAAATAATTCTCCAGCACATGCATAAGAAAATCAAAACATTGATATTGCGCACGCTTGAGAGCTTACTCAAATTCAATGAAAAATTGAGTTGGGAAAGGATATAAAACCAGCCATATTGAAAAGGAACGTCAAAGTGAAAACACATATTTGGATTTTTTCCGAAATAAAAATTGGATTTTTTTTACATATCTTGTTATTGTAGATAATATTTGAGCATACTAATCATTTTAAAATCTCAGTGATGATATAAAGAACAAAACTAATCGGTGCATGTGCTAATTGTCAAAATTATACAGAACAAAATTGACAATTTTTTTGAGATACTTCAAAAAAGCAAAATTGGAATCATTAAATAATAATTTAAAGACGCTTAAAGGAAAGAAAGGAAATTTCCATTTTTGTGCTTTCAATAATTTTGTGTGCTGACTAGCTTTATATCGAATTCTATTAAACAAAAAAGACGAGCTCTTTTTGCTTTAAACGGGAAGGAATTATTCGAGGGTAAATTGCACTTTAATGAGGTAAATAAATAAAACGATTTCATCAAAAGCATTTAGTCCACAAAAGAAATTCCTTAGAAAAGTTTAGCGACGAGCAAATTCCTCCGTTTAACTTTTTGTATGTCTTTCCTTTTTCCCATACCAGTTGAATTTTTCATGAATTATCAAAGCACAAAGCAGCTACAAAGTACTTTTGACATCAACGGCAGAGTTATTAAAATAAAGCCAAGGGAATTGTTCCATAATAAAACGTGACACGAAAGTGGTTCTAAAAAGGGACAACAAATGATTCAGGTATTGTCATCTATACAAATATTTGTTTTTTTCTTTCGTAACTTGTAATGCCCAAAAGAGTAAGTGGATAAATTTGGCAGCAGAGTTTTCAGTATAATTGGGCATTACCTTATTTAAGTGATCATTAGGCAATAATGTGTAGTTATTTTAACTAGATATTCGGTCGACTAATGACATGACTTTTAGTAATGACATTAAAGTCTGTTCAAAAGCAGAGTGAAGTCTTGAATAAAGAAGAGTTTGGTCGGTTTGATTTCCTCTAGAGGTCGATCTCTCAATCATTATTATGTAGGATTCAAAAAGGATTCGCACAATGCTCTCGACATCTGATTGTCAGATCCTACTTTAAAAATTTTATTATTATCAAGTAAATGACATCCAATAAGCTAATAACTTGAATATTTTGTTTGTTCTATTTTACGTGCACCAAAAAAAAATAACAATCAGACTTCATGTCGTCTCCGTAACTTTTCTATCCTAAGTGTTCTTGCACTGACAGTTTCAAATGTATTCCTCACATTACGCTTATTGCAAACTGATTGTGGACATCACTTGAATAATGAAATAACGACATCAATTGTCCCAAAACCGCCTATAATTTTAACACCAGCATCACAATGCTTGGAATATATTTTAGCCGACTCGAATGGAAATGTGAGTGAGAAGGCTGTTTTTTCGGGTCTTGACCTAAAATTGGGAAGATGGGATTCGAGAAGAATGTTTAAAGTATTTGATTTTGTAATACATGGAGAGAAATTTACGGAGCTGTCAGACAAGCTCAACGTGACTTTAGCAACCCAAAGTTCCATTGAGAAAATATTTTCACTTGTACAAGGTAAGGCATTTACAGATATTAATTATTCATTGATGCAATTTCTCGTTCCGTCTCTAAAATTTATTTTATACTTACACATGCATTCAGTTTCACATCATTGGTCCGGTCCAATCTCGATAGCTGGTAAGTTTTGCGCAATTAGATTTTAATTATTAATAATTCAAAACATTAGTCACTAATCCTCAAATCTCTATTCTCATCATGTATGAAGTATATGTAGCTGGTGATGATGAGCTTTATCTGCTTCAAGTCTACTTGACATTTCTCCGTTATTGCTACGTTACAATACGTGAACGAGTCGCATTTCATTTAACATTTCCAAAAGATAGATCACCATCGAACATACGAAGTGTACATCTTAGTGATATCATTACAAAATACAATTGTGCCAAACCAGAACAGACAATTACTGAATTGTTAAAGCAGAGAACTGCTGAGACGAAAAAATGGCGTATAAAATATCCATACCCACAAAATTTCATACGTAATGTTGCTCGCAAAAATTGCCAAACGCATCATGTGTTCTTAACTGATGTGGATATTATACCTTCAGCTAATTTAAATTTTGCTGAACAACTTGACAAATTTCTAAAGAAAGCCAAATGTGCAAATAGCAATAATTTATGTGCTTATGTTATTCCTACATATGAATTAGATGAACGAGTTAGATTTCCAAGGAACAAAACTGATTTGATAAGACTTACCAATAAGGGATTGGCTCGACCATTCCACAATAAAGTTTTTATTTACAACCAATATGCTACGAACTTTTCGAGGTGAGTGTATAAACGGGTATTTTAATGTCGTGGGTGTAAAGGGTGTAGATGAGCTGTAAAACCTTTATTGTTAAGGCTTAAAAGTATTCTTAAAATTACAAACAGCTCCTACAGTAATGTATTATTTACGATTTTCCCATGGCTCTTTACAATTTAAATCACAGTTTTTGTTTGTGGATTATTCATTTTATAATGACAGTCGACTGACTATGACTTTACAAGGAAAGACAAATAATAGATATTCAAGTACCAGGGGCGTAGCCACGAATTTAAAGAGGGTTGGGGGGTACAAAAAAATTTTTTGTATGGAAAAATTTAAGAAGGGGGGGGGGGGGGGGGGTTAAAAATTTAAGGGGGGGGGGGTACAAAAAAATTTTTGTATGGAAAAATTTAAGGGGGGGGGGGGTACAAAAAAAATTTTTGTATGGAAAAATTTAAGGGGGGGTAGTTTTGCAAAATAAAGAAATTTCTGTTTACGTTGGGGGATTTGTACCCCAAATACCCCCCCTTATTCATTCGATTGATTTAATTATCTTTAATTTAGATGGCAAGCTGATTTAACAGAGACTGAAGATGTAAGGATAAGTCATGCTGTAACGAATTTTGAGGTAAAAGTTTTCCTGTCCAAAATAAATTAATCCTTAAAATGATTATTATTCATTATCATAGTTTCTTTATGAGCCATTTTTTGTCGCATCTGATAACAATCCTCCACATGATGAGCGATTTATAGGATATGGATATACAAGAAATACTCAAGTAAGTAATTTATTTATGCAGAAAATTGATATTTATCAATAAAATATGACTCAAAATTTATTACTTCTCATTTTTCTCTCCCATCTCCACTTCCTTTCAATTTCATTTATTTTTACGTGTACATGCTAAAAGGTTTACGAAATGTTCGTAGCAGGATATCAGTTTCAAGTTCTAACACCATTATTTACTATTCATTGGGGCTTACAAAACAAAAAGGGACGGCCTGCATGGCGTGAGCACCAAAATAATATTAATAGGAAGCATTTTGAAATTTTTAAACGAGAATTATTTGCTCGATATCATAAGGACCCGCTGAAGATGCTTGCGCCTAAAAAAGCAAAAGGTCCAAATGCTGCAGGAAATATTAATGCTGGTGGAATCAATGTTGGATGAATAATATGTTACTTAATCAATCAAAGTGTCTCGTTCTCTTTCCTTTTTATTTTTAACGCAATAAATAATTTTTAATTGTTATTTAATTGAATGATTATAATAATAATAATGTCATGTGTCAAATGAATAGGAAGCCTGAATAATGAATTTTTTCAAATATTTGTAGTTTCAATTTTTAATAAGCATAACAAATTAGCAAATTTAATACCTTAGAAAAATCCTCTTTTCATCTTTTAATTATGATTACTGGATTTAAAGAAAATGATGAAGCATACAGGAAATTTAAAGCCACAAACTAGATTAAAAATTATTGCACAATCAAATGTGAGAAATAAAGTCGCTCAAGTGAGAAATAATTGTCATCAATGTTAACATAAATGAAGGATGAAAAAGTTATTAATAAATATGAAAAAGTTACAATAACAGCAGTGATATAAAGAGTTTTCCTTCCTCAAATTGGGCGGAGATGATGTTTTTTTTCCGGGTTTTAGTGGAAAGGGTTGTGTCAAGTTGACACTCAAAAATGCTCGGTTAATGAAAAACGTGCTGATTCTCTCAAATTAAATAAAACGTTTTTTTTTCTATTCACACCGTTTTCACGTGTGAATCTATTGGTTTTGTTCAGATTGAAAAATCAGTTTTTTGAATTTTGTGAGGATATGGAGCAACAGAGCTTAAAATGTTCAGAGATGAAAAGTTTGTGCCTGAAATTTTACATCATTTTCAAAAAACAGATTTCAAATTGGTTGCGGCATTGCTTAGAAAATCGAAAAATATGCTTTTTGTAAGCAAACAAGCAAGCAAGTTAATCAGCAAGAAATCTCAATAACGAGACATTGTAGAGACTTCTAGTTTTTTACATTTGATCCGTGCTGCTCTATAGAAGAGCTGTATTGTTTTTGGGCAAGGTAGGAACAGCCGTTGCTTCAGAAAAAGCAAAAAACTTTCCTTTCTTACGAATTTTTCAAATTAAAAGTTCACTGTGATTTTTTTTAAATTAAACTTTGGATGAAAAAAATTTTTTTTGAGCAAAGAACCAAGTAGGAAATACAATTTCAATTTTGGACTAGGGGCGACCCTAGTCAAAATCAATTTTGCCACTTTTTTCTTCGAGGGTTTATCCAAATGGATTGAAACTTTGCATAAATATTCTAGTGCTTAAAACAAATACAAATAAAACATCCTAAAATTTTTTTGAGCAAAGAACCAAGTAGGAAATACATTTTCAATTTTGGACTAGGGGCGACCCTAGTCAAAATCAATTTTGTCACTTTTTTCTTCGAGGGTTTATCCAAATGGATTGAAACTTTGCATAAATGTTCTAGTGCTTAAAACAAATACAAATAAAACATTGAGCAAAGAACCAAGTAGGAAATACATTTTCAATTATGAACGTGGGACAGGTCCAGTCAAAATCTAGTTTTTCACTTTTTTTTTCTTTCGAGGATCAATTTAAATACAGTAAAACTTTGTATGAGCATTCTAATCCTCAGGTCACACATTTCTGAATTAATAAAAATCATTTTTTGGGACAAAATTTTAAGTCACGTTGTTTTTGAATGTACAACCAAATTTATAAAATTTGGGTCTGACGACATATAGAATACATTTCTTGCTTTAGATATTTAAAACTGTTTTGTATAAATATTAGTATACTCACACAAAGTTTCACTGTAATTGGATAAACCTTCGAAGGAAAAAAAGTGAAAAACTAGATTTTGACTAGACCTGTCCCAAGTTCATAATTGAAATTGTATTTCCTACTTGGTTCTTTGCTCAAAAAAACTTAGGATGTTTTATTTGTATTCGTTTTAAGCACTTGAATATTTATGCAAAGTTTCAATCCATTTGTATAAACCCTCGAAGAAAAAAGTGACAAAATTGATTTTGACTAGGGTCGCCCCTAGTCCAAAATTGAAAATGTATTTCCTTCTTGGTTCTTTGCTCAAAAAAACTTAAGATGTTTTATTTGCATTTGTTTTGAGCATTAGAATATTTATGCAAAGTTTCAATCCATTTGGATAAACCCTCGAAGAAAAAAGTGACAAAATTGATTTTGACTAGGGTCGCCCCTAGTCCAAAATTAAAAATGTAGGGTAAATGACTTTGAAATTTGCGCAACCTTGAAATTTGCGCACTCGTATGAAAACGAAAATTTAAAAATTATATCTCAAAATTGCACTTCTGTTCAGACGATCAATGGGAAATGTCTGCAGAACACAAGCACAGATTTTTTTTCATAATTTTTAGTGGTCTTAAGGCACTAGAAAGCTTAATAATTTATTACCAAAAACTCCCATACAAAACTTAAAATTCTTTACATTTTGATTTTGAGATGCATGCATTGGTATAGATTAAATTTTGGTATCGGAAAATGTAGATCTGACATTGCTTAAAATTTTTCAAATGGTTCCAATTCAAAATGATACCTGGAACTGCTTTAAAATTCATTTTTAAAATGGCTTGTTTTTGAACCTTGAAATTTGCGCAAATTTTATGAAAAATTTTAAAATTTGCGCAGTGAAAAATCATAGATACCGGCCAAAAAAGGCAATAAAATGAACATAGCTTTAAGACTTTATACTACTTTATGTGCTTAAATCAGAGTATTTTTAGATTGAATAAAAAATTTAAAATTGAATTACTATGGATACATCATTTTGCTTGTCCCTTTTTAAATTTATTATGTGCTTTTGAACTATTTTGAAACCATTTATCTAGTGTTTTTTTTCCACGCTGGATTTACTCCTAATACATCTAAGATCGTCATGTTGAACATTGAAGCTTTCACGGATTTTCACGAAACTAAATCTAATCATATAATCTCTAATATATAAAAGCCCAACTCACTGATTCACTGACTCTGGAACGGAAGCTATGTGAAGACGTTTGTGAAGCCGTGTGAAGATAAAAATTTAAGGATTGTTGACAAGGTGGTTATCAGGTGGGTGTGGGTGTCAGGTGTTGGGTGAGTGTCAGGTGGGGGATGGTGGCAAGGGGGACTCAGGTATATTTTGTGAAGCCGTGTGAAGCCAATGATTTGAGGAGTACTGACAAGGTGGGTGTCAGTTTGGGGGGGTGTTGACAAGGTGGGGGGGAGGGGGGCAATGTGGGTGTCAGGTGGGTCCGAATTTGAGGGGGTTTGTGACGCCGTGTAGTGCTGAAAAGTTTGGTGTCAGGAATATTTTGTGAAGCCATATAAAATTTTGTGAAGCCATTTATAAAATTTTTGTGGAATTAAGGGGGTCCGAGTTTGAAGGGGTTTGTGAAGCCATGTGAAGTTTTGTGAAGCCATTTTTAAAGTTTTTGTGGGATTAAGGGGGTCCGAGTTTGAGGGGGTTGTGAAGCCATGCGAAGTTTTGTGAAGCCATTTATAAAGTTTTTGTGGGATTAAGGAAGTCCGAGTTCGAGGGGGGTTGTGAGGCCATGTGAAGTTTTGTGGTAGGATTGACCTTAAAAACATTATGATTATTTGCATCTTACAGTTATTTACATAATAGTAATCAAATTTTAACCCTGATAAGAGGCGCCACGGGCGCCTCCGGATAGCCTAGTTTGGTAATAAACATCATCATTTCCCTTATATTTTGATTAATGTATATTAAAATTGGATATGTTTTCAATAATATTATTTCCAAGATTCAATGATTGCTGTCAAAAAAGTGCGCAAATTTCAAGGTTTTTTTGCGCAAATTTCAAAGTTTTCTGCGCAAATTTCAAAGTTCAAACTTGAAAGTCAAATTTCTTGGCATTGACACAGCAGAGCTTTCTATATCCATAGAAAAACAAAAATATCAATGATTCCCTGCATTTCAAGATCGTTAGTAGGGCTCAATTTCAATCCTCCGAAGAGCTTGAAGCAAATGAAAATTTCATGTGTGACTTTGCGCAAATTTCAAGGTCATTTACCCTATTTCCTACTTGGTTCTTTGCTCAAAAAAATTTTAAGATATTTTATTTGTATTTGTTTTAAGCACTAGAACATTTATGCAAAGTTTCAATCCATTTGGATAAACCCTCGAAGAAAAAAGTGACAAAATTGATTTTGACTAGGGTCGCCCCTAGTCCAAAATTAAAAATGTATTTCCTATTTGGTTCTTTGCTCAAAAAAATTTTAAGATATTTTATTTGTATTTGTTTTAAGCACTAGAACATTTATGCAAAGTTTCAATCCATTTGGATAAACCCTCGAAGAAAAAAGTAACAAAATTTATTTTGACTAGGGTAGCCCCTAGTCCAAAATTAAAAATGTATTTCCTACTCGGTTCTTTGCTCAAAAAAATTTTAAGATGCTTAATTTGTATTTGTTTTAAGCACTAAAATATTTATGCAAAGTTTCAATCTATTTGGATAAACCCTCGAAGAAAAAAGTGAGAAAATTGATTTTGACTAGGGTCGCCACTAGTCCAAAATTAAAAATGTATTTCCTACTTGGTTCTTTGCTCAAAAAAATTTTAGGATGTTTAATTTGTATTTGTTTTAAGCACTAGAACATTTATGCAAAGTTTCAATCCATTTGGATAAACCCTCGAAGAAAAAAGTGAGAAAATTGATTTTGACTAGGGTCGCCCCTAGTCCAAAATTAAAAATGTATTTCCTACTTGGTTCTTTGCTCAAAAAAATTTTAAGATGCTTTATTTGTATTTGTTTTAAGCACTAAAATATTTATGCAAAGTAGCAATCCATTTGGATAAACCCTCGAAGAAAAAAGTGACAAAATTTATTTTGACTAGGGTCGCCACTAGTCCAAAATTAAAAATGTATTTCCTACTTGGTTCTTTGCTCAAAAAAATTTTAAGATGCTTAATTTGTATTTGTTTTAAGCACTAGAACATTTATGCAAAGTTTCAATCCATTTGGATAAACCCTCGAAGAAAAAAGTGAGAAAATTGATTTTGACTAGGGTCGCCCCTAGTCCAAAATTAAAAATGTATTTCCTACTTGGTTCTTTGCTCAAAAAAATTTTAGGATGTTTTATTTGTATTTTTTTAAGCATTAGAATATTTATGCAAAGTTTCAATCCATTTGGATAAACCCTCGAAGAAAAAAGTGACAAAATTGATTTTGACTAGGGTCGCCACTAGTCCAAAATTAAAAATGTATTTCCTACTTGGTTCTTTGCTCAAAAAAATTTTAAGATGCTTAATTTGTATTTGTTTTAAGCACTAAAATATTTATGCAAAGTTTCAATCTATTTGGATAAACCCTCGAAGAAAAAAGTGACAAAATTGATTTTGACTAGGGTCGCCACTAGTCCAAAATTAAAAATGTATTTCCTACTTGGTTCTTTGCTCAAAAAAATTTTAAGATATTTTATTTGTATTTGTTTTAAGCACTAGAATATTTATGCAAAGTTTCCTTCCATTTGGATAAACCCTCGAAGAAAAAAGTGAGAAAATTGATTTTGACTAGGGTCGCCCCTAGTCCAAAATTGAAAATGTATTTCCTACTTGGTTCTTTGCTCAAAAAAATTTTAAGATATTTTATTTGTATTTGTTTTAAGCACTAGAACATTTATGCAAAGTTTCAATCCATTTGGATAAACCCTCGAAGAAAAAAGTAACAAAATTGATTTTGACTAGGGTCGCCCCTAGTCCAAAATTAAAAATGTATTTTCTACTTGGTTCTTTGCTCAAAAAAATTTTAGGATGCTTAATTTGTATTTGTTTTAAGCACTAGAATATTTATGCAAAGTTTCAATCCATTTGGATAAACCCTCGAAGAAAAAAGTGAGAAAATTGATTTTGACTAGGGTCGCCCCTAGTCCAAAATTGAAAATGTATTTCCTACTTGGTTCTTTGCTCAAAAAAATTTTAAGATATTTTATTTGTATTTGTTTTAAACACTAGAACATTTATGCAAAGTTTCAATCCATTTGGATAAACCCTCGAAGAAAAAAGTGAGAAAATTGATTTTGACTAGGGTCGCCCCTAGTCCAAAATTAAAAATGTATTTCCTACTCGGTTCTTTGCTCAAAAAAATTTTAAGATATTTTATTTGTATTTGTTTTAAGCATTAGAACATTTATGCAAAGTTTCAATCCATTTGGATAAACCCTCGAAGAAAAAAGTGAGAAAATTGATTTTGACTAGGGTCGCCCCTAGTCCAAAATTAAAAATGTATTTTCTACTTGGTTCTTTGCTCAAAAAAATTTTAGGATGCTTAATTTGTATTTGTTTTAAGCACTAAAATATTTATGCAAAGTTTCAATCCATTTGGATAAACCCTCGAAGAAAAAAGTGAGAAAATTGATTTTGACTAGGGTCGCCCCTAGTCCAAAATTGAAAATGTATTTCCTACTTGGTTCTTTGCTCAAAAAAATTTTAAGATATTTTATTTGTATTTGTTTTAAGCACTAGAACATTTATGCTAGGGTCGCCCCTAGTCCAAAATTAAAAATGTATTTCCTACTTGGTTCTTTGCTCAAAAAAATTTTAAGATATTTTATTTGTATTTGTTTTAAACACTAGAACATTTATGCAAAGTTTCAATCCATTTGGATAAACCCTCGAAGAAAAAAGTGACAAAATTGATTTTGACTAGGGTCGCCCCTAGTCCAAACTTAAAAATGTATTTCCTACTTGGTTCTTTGCTCAAAAAAATTTTAGGATGTTTAATTTGTATTTGTTTTAAGCACTAGAACATTTATGCAAAGTTTCAATCCATTTGGATAAACCCTCGAAGAAAAAAGTGAGAAAATTGATTTTGACTAGGGTCGCCCCTAGTCCAAAATTAAAAATGTATTTCCTACTTGGTTCTTTGCTCAAAAAAATTTTAAGATGCTTTATTTGTATTTGTTTTAAGCACTAAAATATTTATGCAAAGTTTCAATCCATTTGGATAAACCCTCGAAGAAAAAAGTGAGAAAATTTATTTTGACTAGGGTAGCCCCTAGTCCAAAATTAAAAATGTATTTCCTACTCGGTTCTTTGCTCAAAAAAATTTTAAGATGCTTTATTTGTATTTGTTTTAAGCACTAAAATATTTATGCAAAGTTTCAATCCATTTGGATAAACCCTCGAAGAAAAAAGTGACAAAATTTATTTTGACTAGGGTCGCCACTAGTCCAAAATTAAAAATGTATTTCCTACTTGGTTCTTTGCTCAAAAAAATTTTAAGATGCTTAATTTGTATTTGTTTTAAGCACTAGAACATTTATGCAAAGTTTCAATCCATTTGGATAAACCCTCGAAGAAAAAAGTGAGAAAATTGATTTTGACTAGGGTCGCCCCTAGTCCAAAATTGAAAATGTATTTCCTACTTGGTTCTTTGCTCAAAAAAATTTTAGGATGTTTTATTTGTATTTGCTTTAAGCACTAGAATATTTATGCAAAGTTTCAATCCATTTGGATAAACCCTCGAAGAAAAAAGTGACAAAATTGATTTTGACTAGGGTCGCCCCTAGTCCAAAATTAAAAATGTATTTCCTACTTGGTTCTTTGCTCAAAAAAATTTTAGGATGTTTTATTTGTATTTTTTTTAAGCATTAGAATATTTATGCAAAGTTTCAATCCATTTGGATAAACCCTCGAAGAAAAAAGTGACAAAATTGATTTTGACTAGGGTCGCCCCTAGTCCAAAATTGAAATTGTATTTCCTACTTGGTTCTTTGCTCAAAAAAATTTTAAGATGCTTAATTTGTATTTATTTTAAGCACTAAAATATTTATGCAAAGTTTCAATCCATTTGGATAAACTCTCGAAGAAAAAAGTGACAAAATTGATTTTGACTAGGGTCGCCCCTAGTCCAAAATTGAAAATGTATTTCCTACTTGGTTCTTTGCTCAAAAAATTTTTAAGATATTTTATTTGTATTTGTTTTAAGCACTAGAGCATTTATGCAAAGTTTCAATCCATTTGGATAAACCCTCGAAGAAAAAAGTTACAAAATTGATTTTGACTAGGGTCGCCCCTAGTCCAAAATTAAAAATGTATTTCCTACTTGGTTCTTTGCTCAAAAAAATTTTAAGATGCTTTATTTGTATTTGTTTTAAGCACTAAAATATTTATGCAAAGTTTCAATCCATTTGGATAAACCCTCGAAGAAAAAAGTGACAAAATTGATTTTGACTAGGGTCGCCCCTAGTCCAAAATTGAAAATGTATTTCCTACTTGGTTCTTTGGTCAAAAAAATTTTTTGGATGTTTTATTTGAATTGACATATTTCTGACATAAATCACATACTAATATTACTTTTTGTAATGCATAGCTTAAAAAAAACCGAAATCTAAAATTTCGACTACCCCATCTGATTTTTGTTCATACTCTTCACTGTAGAAACCAAAAAACAAATTCTTTATCTTAAAACACTTGACAAAATAGCGACATAATTCAGGATTAATTACTTTTTAATAATATTTTAACATTAACGAGAAAATGTGGTTTAAATAAGTGTGAGCTATACTGGTTCATAGTGTTTCCGAGGGTGACAAAATTCAAACTAAGTGTTTTTGTAGCTGACATAATTATGACAAAAATTAGGTATAACTTTTGAACTGTGTCGATATGGGTCTCGGCCGTACTTCACGCCCAACATTCAAATTTATGCTGAGCAAATCTTGGTCTATCCATAAGACTTTTGATGGTTCGGTGTGAATATATCCGCATTGAGTTTCTACCCGATACACTAGTTTCAGGTCGGAATTAATTGTTGAAATTAAAAATTTGTCGCAGTAAAAATTTATTTGTTGCCATTTTTAATTTGGCTATAAATGAAACTTATATTTGACATTTCGTTTCCTTAAACTAATTTTATTAACAAGAACTATTTATTAGGTACGTATTCTAACCCCAACTTTTACTGTATTTCCGGAGAACAACATAAAATATATCCACAGGAATACTTCCAAACCAAAATAGGAACGTGATAATGTGTGCTTGCATATAGAATTGTCTCAAGTCCACTTTTTGCATCGACATTTTGAGATGTGAATTTTAGTTCTGAAATTTTACAACTCACAAAAATTGTTCAAACTTTGCAAAAACTGAACTTTTTTTAAATCTTTTATAGTAGGTTGGAGTGTGCTAGCCTCAAAGGGTAAACTATGGAGAGGGTCCAGCCTCTTGAGCTGGAAACACTGCTATTCAAATCAGAACAGAATCTATTGTACAACACACTTTAGACCTAAATTTTACAGTGGAATCCGAACCACTTGCAAGCTCTGCACATTGCTAAGACACGAGTACTTCTAAAGACCTGATGTACCCTGCAATGTATCTAGCCACAATTCGTGCGCGCTAGATGCTGTAATGAAATCATCCAGATGCTAGTATATCCAGCAAAGGACATTATGTGCCACCCAACTACACCCAACATACGAACCGAGCTTTGTAACTAGAACGTTGTGAACTTCATTCCAGTACATAAGATTCGAAAAAGGATAAAGCTGATTAACTTGCTTGTTTGCTTGCTTACAGAAAGTGTATTTTTCGACATTCTCAGCAATGCCGCAACCAATTTGAAATCTGTTTTTTGCAGAAGATGTAAAATTTCAGGCACAAACTTTTCATCTTAGAACATGTTAAGCTATCTTGCTACATATCCTGATAAAATTCAAAAAAATGAGTTTTCAATCTGAACAAAACCAATAGATTCACACGTGAAAATGGTGTGAATATAAAAACTTCCCAAACATCCGGTACTTCTCGAAGTAACACACATTTTTGGGAAACTTTTGGAAACTTCTGAAGTGTATACGCCTTGTGCATATTTTTGTAAGCATAAGGGAGCAATAATACTTGGACTTGATGGGATTCATCATGGAAATTGGAATTTTATAGTTGACTCTAAAGTGATGGTACAACATATCGCAGTGCCTTACCGCGTTTTACTAACCCAAATTTTAATTATAGTAATGCATATTGATTAATGATTCTGAGATAAGATGCTTGTATGTATCCGTAGAAACCAGCCCCACAAAATCACTGGTAAGTCATAAAATATTTTTAAAGAAGTGAAGAACGTCATTTGTAAATGAATTGTAAAGTAGTGCCGTATTCAGTTGATCAACTCTCTTGTTCAATTCGAGGAAAACATCCCAAAATTTTATAAACATTTCAAAACCCCTTCTCGAAAATATTTTTGAATTCATCACAGCCCCTAATCAAAAAATATAACACTGCTAGTAATAGACCTAATCGAACATATTATTGACAATATTGCTTTAAGTGAGATAATAATTAGAGACAAAAAGTAAGCTTTATCAATGATACTAATTAGCTAGTTGTTCAATAAGTCTCACATCAAAATATTTCTTGTTCTTTATTTTTTTTTCTTCAAGATATGTTACACGCTACACTCAAAAAATTTTTCTTAAATAGAATATATATTTGATAAATTTAATCTCCGGTTACTTGTCAATCCATTAGTCCATTAAAGTTTCATAATTATTTTTTATTGTTGATTATATTAAATTATTGTCTTATGCTTGCGATGCCAGTAAACTAGCCCGTTGTTTATAGTCTTCACGTAGAGACATAACACACAGATAACAGTAACAGTCAAAACAAAACGATATGAATCGTCCAAGTGTCTTCATATCAAATCCAGAATAGTAAATTTTGACGATGAAGTAAATTGTAAAAAGTGTTAGATAAGTTCTTGCTCCATAAATCCAGTTTGATAAATCTTGGATATGATTCTGTGGAAAAGAATTAGAAAATAAGCAAGTGAAGGTCGTTGAAATTTGCTGTATTGAGTGGAACTGAATGCACACGTGATTCTATTAATGCGCATTTTCTTATGTGCAGTTTGTTGCACATTTTTTTAATTGTATTTCGAAGACACTAGCTTATATAGGGCATTTTATAAGTGACATCCTTTTTAGATCTATATCCTGATTTTTTAAGGATTTTTTTGGCCATTTACTACATTTGGAATATCCAAGTTAAGGAGTATTGGGGAGCCTTTACAATTTTGGAAATGGAACTGATTGCTAATTCTTTTCTGTAGCTTTGCAAATATTATTGTTACTATTAAACTAAGACCTAGTTTCTCATCAGGACAGCAGTCAAAATGACATAGCAGAAAAATAATGAATGACGCCGTACAACCTTTGAAAAATGCAGCAACAAAATCACGTATGCATCACGCAACTTCCATAATATCAACTTACAGTTTCATTTATTTTAAATAATCGATATGACAGCACGATATTAATGACGTTAATTATGAGTCCAATGAAAAGTAGAAAAGCTGCGACTATAATTTGACAAGGGAAAATTAGGAAATTTCTCATATAAATAATTTAGCAAGTCTCAGCACCATTAGTTATGACTACTTTATATAACTGAACTTACATGTAAAAGCGATAGTCGGAATATTCTCAGAAATAACTTTATCGTTGGATAGAACCCATAAATCAATTGTCTCAAGATAAATAAGTAGAATTGCGAGTGAATGCTTCAAGATCCCTAAACCTCCAATGATTTTAGCACCTAGAAAAAAAATTTAATCACATATGGACGATTGAGTGATAAGAAATTTTCAATTAAGCATAAAATGGAATAACAAACCTGTTGCTAGGTCGAAAATGAAGAATTGTGATACTTGTAGGCGCATTATGAGGCTATAGGGCACTAATGAAATTAATATATGCACAATAAACTACGAAATGAATTTTTTATACTTTAACTGATAACACGAAAAATTCTAATACTTTTTTACGAGTGAGCCTTGGAAATGAAGTTTTTTTGTACGCGATTATTTAAACGACCTTATGCGCAGAATCAGTGAAATTGTTTTACTCATTTCTGAGAGGATTTTGTGATAAGGCATACTGTAATAAAAAGAAACTATAATTTATGAGTAAAAGAACCTGTTGATTCCAATCGGTTATTGATTCATACGATTAATTTATTTAATTTATTTCAATCACATGTCATCACTTTCTATGAATATTCTTTGTATTTGTATTTTAACAAGCATTCATACAAGCCACAAACATAAATCATCTTAATGTCGCACGATTTAATTTACACTATAGGTCTTTTTTCGAATTTATTTTTAATAACTTTGTACAAGAGATTCTTAGCACCAAAGTTGTTTAATGACGAATTTTTTTCATTAATTAATCAATAATTTATGGGATGATATATGGAAGTGCTATTTCATTCTTATGGACAAATTTGTTTCAAAAACTACTAAATTGAAATTTAGTACTAAAATTAAGTTCATGTCCATAATTAGATTGGTACTTCCAGACATCATGAATTTGTCTATTATTCATAAATTAAATTAATTAAGTAATAATAAATGGTTAACAGAAATGGGCTTCAAATGGCTACGAGGACTATAATTCAAACCTAAAATAAAATGTCATTCGATGACAAAGATACTAGATGATTGGATTTGTGTTCTTTATAATTAAGCGTGTGAGTGATTTAATTTTTTTTTTTTGAGTTCCTTAATAACTAAGCATCCTTAACGTTACATTGACTTTCGCTTTATTTTTCGTCTCAGTCATCCTTATGAAGTACATGCTTTTGGAACATACTATATAGTAAACCGAGTGTTAGTGCTGATACAACAGTTCCTTGAGCTGCAACTCTCGTTTGCATTAAAAACACGCTCGTTGACATTTGACCACGGTGCTTGAACTTATATGCTGCAAATCCACATGCTAATACTAAACCGCCAATGCCTAAAAGAGATGAAAAACAAAAATTACATTGAATAAATTTTGTTTGTAATGATTACGAATGACTTGATACGTCATGTGTTTCAGTCGTTATTTTTGGCATTCATCTTGTTCATGACACACGTATTAAAATCTTTCAATATCACATTTTCTTATTTTATCGGAAGGAAATCAAATGTATCAAGGCAGAAGTACAATGTAATATGTCAATGAAAATTCGTTTTTATGCTGTTTATCAGTCGAGTAAATTCATCCTTCTCATTTACGATATATCGAGACTTAAACTACTTGTCGCGTGTATTCTGACGTCATATCATGAAAAGAGCATTCCCATTAAAATCATATGCTTTCTAGACGTAATTTTTTTCCGATGGTATTAATAGAATTTAAATCATCAAGCTTGTATTTTTCCAATGAAAGTGATAAATTCTGCTTGCTCATTTTCATTACTAGAGTCTTGGTTTCTCCATAAATAATATATTACTAGAACTTCTTAATTATGCAATCAACTTCCAGAAATTTAATATTTTTGCACGATTGCCAAAAATTAATTATTGAATGTTTTAACGAAAGTCAAGGTCATGTAAAGTTTCTAATTCTAATTTTTCACACCTGAGTTGTGCAATTTAGTAATTATTTAAACTTATACAATCAATTCATTATCTTATTTCACGATTATTTCAAATATTTCTCATAATTTATTTCACTTACCAATAAGCATGAATGGTGATTCTTTTGCCTTTCTGGACAATCTGTTGCCAGCTTCCTCCTCATCACGAAATACAAATTGTTTTTCTTGAGCCATTTCCTTTAATTAAGTCTGTCAATTTTAAATACTTTATTAAAACTAAATAATTTTGACAAATTCTCTGCAATGAGACTGCTGATTTTGGTGACAGAGCTTATTACCCAAAGATAAAATTGTCCAAAACGTTACGTTTTCAAATGAGTTTTAAATTTAACGGTTATATTTGAAAAATTAATTCGCCTTTAAGAGAAGCGAATTCAAGAAGATGTTTAAATCTTTATGAAACCGTTAAAGTTTGAATTTTGATAAACCGTTGACGAATCTATATAAATTTTAATTAAAACCACTTTAATATTAAAAACTAGATGATATCTTATGGCACCTATCCTTACCAATACATATAAAATCAATAAAAAGACAACGAGAAATTTGAAAAATATAAAATTGTTACAGAATTTTTCTAAGGCACATAAATCGATGTTTATTTAACTTATTAGATGCTGTGTTTTTCGATGCACAATACATATTTTAGTTGCATCTATTTGAAAGATTATCGTATCACCATTAATTTAAAACTGGAAAAACATTTTAAGTATACATGCTATAACGATTGTGTAAACTTTAAAGTCAAAGCACGGGAATGAATTTTCATTGGAAAATTGCATTTTTCTTTTTGCACAGAAACTTTTCTTTTCAATTCAGTATTTCTGCATAAGTCGTTTAGTGCATCTGATATTTTCAAAACTATAAAGGTGAATTTAATTAAAATTATTTTAAAATAATTAAATTGAATCAAACATTTATTGCTCATGACAAGTCTAATACATTATTAAATAACGATTAAGTCCACTGATAGTGTCAGACATGCAATTTAATGCAGATTTATGAAAGTTTAAATTTTATTACCTAATGCATAAATTTCAATGTCATTGCACGATCAGATGAAAAGAAGACTTAAAAATGTCTCAGAGGAATTCAAAATACGTTAAATATAAACCAAACACGTGTCAGATCGTGTAGAACTGTTCTGAAATAAAAAGAATCAGAAAATGGTTGCATAATCTCGAAAGTCATTGAAAAGAAAATAGTTTTTCTTGAATCTGAGTATTTGGGTGACCTCGAATGGGAAAATGAGAACAAATTGCATAATTTATACTCATATGACTCTCATTGATGATCTTGCGCAAAATGCAACAAGCTGTTGATCTTATTGTTGTCGTGTAGTCAGGGGTGTGTGAAATTAATCAACTCCAATTCTGTTTTTAATTCCTAGGTTCTCTCCTGTTTTGCTGTAATTAAAATTGTATTTTAATTTGTCTTATTTTAGCAAAAATGGGTGTACCAGCTGGTGATGTTGAAAAGGGCAAGAAGGTCTTTGTCCAAAGATGTGCTCAATGCCACACAGTAGAAGCTGGCGGCAAACACAAGGTTGGACCAAATCTTAATGGAATTATGGGTCGTAAGACTGGTCAAGCTGCTGGATTCTCATACTCTGAAGCCAACATTAAGAAGGGAATCACATGGAATGAAGATACACTCTTCGAATATTTTGAAAACCCAAAGAAATACATCCCCGGCACCAAGATGGTGTTTGCTGGTATCAAGAAGGTAAACGAACGTGCTGATTTGATTGCATATCTTAAAGCTGCAACTAAGTAAATTTAAATTTAAATAGTTAAATAAAATAATACAAAAATATAACAAAATAGACAATAGTTTCAATTTATTGAGAGAATTGAAAGAGTTTTAAATTTTGTAATTATATCAACCAACATCTCGTATATTCCTATTTTTAGACCATCACCATTTAGCTATAATTATTATTGTGCTTAGAATTTTCAGAGCTTTTATTCAAGAAGCAATTCAGTTGCAGTTATCACTTTTTATGGCTTAGCCAATTTTAAATATTTTTATTGGATGTCATCTTAATAATTTAATTGGGACAGAAAAAACCTATTGAAAGGGTTGGGGTAAGGATCGAGCTAGAAGCACCTATGCTGAGCTAGACTTCAAATTCATGTCTACTTTGAGCTCTTGTTTGGAGATTTTTAAATGAACTAGGAAAATCTATTTCATAGAATGTGTAATTCGTAAGGCAAGCTTGCTGTATAAAGACATTATATTATACTTTAATCGACAACTGAATTTTCCAAGAAAAGTTGCTCTCGTCACCCGTTTAAAAAATTAATGCGATTATCATTCTATTTGAGATTATTTACAAATTAACACGTTTCTTAAGACTATAAACATCAGATTGTAACTTGATGATATTCGTTTGAATATCACTTAACATTTCGTTAATTTTTATGATGTCATTTGCTAGCTTTTCATTGCGATTCTCCTTCAGTTTTCTTATTGCATTAACCGTTCTCTCTTCACGCTTTTTCTCGAGAAGCTTTAGAATGTCATGCACAATTTCTTCATTAATTTTCACATTCTTCTTAAGAAAACTTAATGGCGACGGAGCCCATTCATTAAGATTTATTTGTTCTGTTTCATTTACAAAAATGTGTCGACTTCGGTTTGGTTTTATTAAAATCGAACCATCAGGAACAGTATTTGGAAACATTGATATGACTTTCTTCAAGTAATCACCCATGTAGGAATTTCTTTTAAAGACAGCTTCTTCAGTCTCCTGCATTGTTAAGATTCGTTGATGTAGATCAATCAATCTCGCATCAGATTTAATTTCCTGAGTATCAGAGACAGCTAAAGCGTTGAGTAAATTATAGAGAACTATTGTGATGAGGAAGAGAAAAAGTAGAAAAAGTACGCCGTATGTTAAGCCTTCTTGATGCATATAGCTCCCTTCTAATTCACCCGACAGCATAGCAAATGACTTAATGATAGCTAATCCAACTGTGTTAAAATTGTTGTATCTATCACTTCTCGTCTCGTTTAATGGCGGCAATGCATTGCTTGTATTATCTCCTCCATGTATAAACAGTTTATCTAAATCTTTTGAATATTTATCGCCATGCAATGTAAAGAAGCTGAATGCAAATCCCAAAATTAAAACTGAATAAAATGAAAGTGACTTTACAAAAGTAGTGCAAACTTTTTTAAACATTTTTGTGTGCAGTGATATTGACAGAAGTGGCAAAAGACCAAGCAAATTGAAATATTCAGCAACTGCTAATAAGATAATAACAGTGCGTAACATACGTGAAATGTGATTGGGTATTTGCCATTGAAATAATAGTATTGTTAATGATGATATTATTAGTGCCATATCTATCCAATTCGAACTTGCTTGTACATATTGTATAATTGATAAGAAAAATTGCATTGACTCGCGAAAAATCAAGAGTGATAAGCTGATGAATGATAAGACATAAAATAAATTGTACATAACACTTCCAGCTCGTTCTGCTTCCGGTGTTGTTTGGGATAACAAAATAAATGGAATGAATGAAAACATGTACATAAGGATCAACACCAGATTGATGTAGATTAGGAAGTTTATTTTATTCCATTTGAGTAAGATGAATGATGATAGTACGGGATGCATAAGTAGTCGTTGAAGGTCAGCCTTTTCTGCAATCTTTCCTAACGGTTTCATCTCCTCAGCATATTTCATTTCTGATGCTTTTACTAGGGATTCAAAATCTTCTGGTGACTTTTGGGATATTGGCAAATATGTATCTTGGTTACCTAATTTACGGAATTTTCTCTGATCAATAATTGGCTGAGATGGTGTCAAAAATCCATAATTAAGTCTTATCTCTAATTCTTCATCATCATGAAATTTATCATTTGTTGTTATGCAGCTATCAAAGAAGTCAGCAAGTAAACTTTTTCTTATATTTTTAATGACTGTTCCTATATACGCTCCATTTCTCAGTAATTCAATGGTAATATAATCAATTTTATATCGAACTGCATAGTATATTGCAGGCAAACCCAATTCATCGTGCTCGTTGATTAATTCGCGATTACATTGTTTGTGCTGTAGAACGAGATTGAAGCACTTCTTTTGATCACATGTCATTTCTTTTATGAAGTTTGACTTTTTATATGTTGAATATGAACGACTTTTGAGGTCGTCAAAGAATGAATGAAGGAATGTCTTTTTCTTAACTGTCTCAGTGCCTTCCATTATATAATAAAGTTTGATCGCTGGATGTAATAAGAACGATCTTAAGATTCCAACGTTTACAATCTTAAATGCTATAAATGGAGGTGGAATTTTGTATTTACTTGATTTGTGCACGTGGTTGATATCAACTCCATAATCAATTAGTAGATCAACAATGTTAATTAATGATTTTGCGACAGCTGCTTCCAGAAATGCAGAACAATTTTCTTTATATTCTTCCATGTCCATACACGAGTCTTTAAAAAAGAAAAATTTCGTTTCAAATTTATTAATTTCACCGTCCATTAGTAGCTGCATCATATTTTCATAATTTACGATAAAGTCTTCCTTATCTGGGAGAGCATTTAAATATTTAACTTTCTGGTTCATGACCAGCTCAATTATTTCATCGCTTCTGTGAGTATAAAAATCCAGATCTCCATTTTTAATGAAATAGTCAGCGACATCTTTGCGATTTTTCAGTTGTGGAAGTTTTTCCAACACCAAATAAAAAGGAGTTTTAAGTTCACGATCTGGATGATTTGCATTACATCCATGAGCTAATAAAATTTTTATTAAAGGAAATATGACTTCATATGTGTCATTTGTAAGGCATTCGATTAATGTGTGAAGACAATTTTGTCCATTACTATCTTTAACATTTGCATATGGTGAATATTTGATTTTATGTGCTGAATCCAAACTGTTTACGTTTAGATCACGATATGAAAATAAACTCTCAACTTCTTTGAGATTCTCAATACACTTTGATTCAATTACGCAATGCAGCGGGTACTGTTGATTGCTGTTTTTCTGTAATTAAATTATGAAAAGGTAGTGAGATGCTGTAATGACTCATTCAATGATTTCATTTATTATGAGAGAATTATGGAGATTCCAACTGAGATTTACCGGTAAATCAAACTTTCTCTTTATTGCTCTGAAAATCTTTTTTTTAATGCTATTTAGCACCTTTCAAATGGCTGATTAAGATTCTTTATTTAAATTAAGATTCGAAAGGTTTGTTCATCAATGACATCCAGTTTTAAAAAAAAATGTGGAAATATAATGTCCTGTGACAATATAAAAAGGAAATCAATCATCATGACTGAAATTCATCAGAACAGCTACTAAAAATACATCATTTTTGAAGCTCCCCAAAGCTAATTTTAGTGCATATAAAATTTTTTGCCACAGAAAAGTTTAAGAAATTTTTATCACTGCAAACTCTGATACTCTACTTTCCTGTTTATCTATCTTGTTTCTAATCTTATCTATAAAATAAAAAGGAAGAAGAAGCATTGAACTTCTTGAAATTTGGCTTTTGAAGTACTAAGAGTAATAAATCAGGTCGATCGTTCTTAAAGTATTCAAACTATCTTTCACACAAGTTATGAAATACTGAGAATAACTGAATTAACGAAAAATTTATGGATAGCTTCATATTAAATTTCATCGCAAAAATTAATATTCTATACTAAACCATATTGTCAGCATTTCTAAATATTTACAATAAAATGTGCTTAGATTATGAACATCTTTGAATGTACTTGTAAAAACATCAAAGCTTGTCTCTAAACTCTACCTACATCTTCAAATATTTTCTTGTTCTCTTCTGTTTTGACCATAGAATCATTTGAATTAAACAGCAATACAATGAATAGTCTTGACTATCTATTTCATTAAAATTCGCAAATTATTATGTTTATAAAAACACAAGAATTCATTTCTAAGCATATTTAACATCTTCAGAACCACTCATGTCAAACTTTTGTCTTGAAATACTCAGAATATTATCAAAATCATCACGAATAATTTTATTTTTTTTTTTCACATCACCAAAAAATTTGGAACCTCCTCATTAGAATGAAGACGAGAAAAAGAAGAAGACATGAAAACCTGTTGATCTACAGTCTATATCAACAAATCATACATACTGATACATACCACATAAAAATCCGCACCATATTCAATGCATTTTTTAATAAAGCTATGTGAACCGGGCGTGCTTAAAATAATTTCAAACACTGTTCGACCTTTTGACTCTACAAAATAGTTTGGGTCGGCTTCGTGAACTTCCAGCGCTTCCGTAAATTTTCCTAAGTTTCTATTTTTAAAGGCATTATATAAGTCAATATTGTTTGACATTTTTGGAATTTTATTTCACGGGAAAATTGAAGAACACAAAGTTAGAACACTGTACACGGCTGAGACGCGAAGATAATTAGAAAACAAAACAAAAAAAAAATACACGAAAGCAATCGATGTGACGACGTTTTCTACTACGACAAGTGACTAGGTAGGCAGTCAGGTTATAATTTCTTCTTATCACACTTCTTTTATTTTTTTTAAATAATGTAATATAGAAAATTAATATACACGTTTTAGTATAGCCCTTAAATAAAGCTATTTCCATGAACTTTTGCACTTTTTATTGTACAGAACATTTATATTGATTGCTCATTATATTTTAAATACAAAAAACTACTCAAATTTGATCAAAAATCAACTAAATAAACACAAGAATGAGTCAAGTTCCAGCAACGAGACAAAATAAAGAGTAACAATACACAAAAACCGAACTGAACAAATCGAAATGTGAGTAGAAACTGAAATAAGGAAACGAGAAATTTCTCATTTTTCTGTATTTCACATGCTCACCGATCGTACGAATGGAGTATGTGTTACTGTACATTTTAATGAGAATATTTTTATTATTCTCAGGCTCCGATGTTCATTCCGGCTATCAACCATGCTTCAGTAACTTTTTCTTTCGTTCTCTTCACCATTCTCATCTAACACGCACCTTATCGAAAATTAATAGCGTGTAGTGATTTTGTTTTTCACTTGATGGCAATCAAAATACTCATTTTTATGTCAATCGATTGATTTAATGGTTATAAATAATGGAAATTCTTTTCGAACGTGTTAATGACAATGTCTCATTTTTGTTGGCTTAATTAGATATCATACTTTTTAGTTTTAGAAGGTATTTGGATATTATGTGATGCCAACAATGGTAATTTTTGACCTATTTTACCTAGCGTAAAGTCAGCGTAATAATAATAATGTGTGAAGGGCCCAGCCTTTCAGCTGGATGCACTGCGATTCAAATTAGAACAGAATCTATTGTACCACACCCTTTAGACCTACAGTTCATAGTGGGATCCGAACCACTTGCAACGCTCTGCACATTGCAAAGACACGAGTACGTCATAAGACCTGATGTACCCTGCAATTTACCTAGTCACAATTCGTGTGCGCAAGATGCCGTAAGGAAGTCATCCAGATGCTAGTATATCCTTGTATACCTAGCAAAGGAGGCATATTATGTGCCAAAGATCTCCAAACTACACCCAACACACGAACCGAGCTTCGTAACTAGAACGGTGAAATGGGAAAAGAGCTTCGAAAATTAGACTTGGCCTGGGATTGAACCCAGGACCTTTGGCACAGAAGTCCAACGCTCTACCATTTAGGCCACTGATGCCATTTCACCGTTTGTAAAGTCAGCTTAGTGCCAATACATAAGATTCTGTTGAAGGTAAGTATCAAAAAAATGTGACTTTTATAAATCATCTCAATTTTGACTAGACTTCCAAAATTTTCAGTTCCAACCATACAAGCATTCTTTTGATGCTAATGAACAAATTTCTGTTGGAAATAATACTCACGTCTATAAATAAAAATGAAAATAATTTCCATAAGCCTTATCTCTAATCAATTTTATATCGCATTAAAAATCATACGCCTAGATAAGTATTGACCTTTACAGCTTTATGCTATGATAAAACTTTACTGACTTTATCTTATTGTAAATAATTCAGAATTAACAATGATTTATTGAATATAAGAAAATAATGAACAGAATACAGTTGATACATACAGGCTTAGTATTGGAACGAGTTCCGAAGGAAAATAAGAGGTTATCAGAGCACTTATAAGGAATACTGACTACCGCTTTTGATGTCTTATCTTTAACTAGATTCGAAGGAGTTGCAATACGCAATCAAGTTTTTACAAAATGATCAACAGACATTATTTATTGTCAACGAATCATTCAACTGATTCTGAATGAAAATTCTCCTCATCAAAAATAATAAATGCACAGAAACACAAACCAATAATCCCAGTGCATTCACCGATTTTCAGTTAAAGCTATAAACTTCGCGTTAATGTGCGGTAATGGTGGTAATTGAACACTTTTTTGTGGTTGCTCATTTATATGACATCACTTGCAATGACTCATCTCTTCATACTTTTAAAAACAGCATCATCGATAGGGGTTTTCTGTAAAAATTTTAGGGCGCAAAATTGATTAAACTTTCCTCTATCATCATTTATGGATAAAACCTTCAGTTACTATCAATAGCAACTTTGTTAAAACCTTTTTTCATATCTAGGACTTATAAGGGATAAGTAAAAGTATTTAAGAATTGACAGGACTGAGTGGGATGAATGTAGTTTAAAAGTGACAATCTTTTTATTTACCCAGACATTACGGCATTGTAAGATATTAACATTAATTTAAAAAAGTTTTCACAACAGAGCAGGGGCGTAGCCAGGATTTTGAAGAGGGGGAGGGGGACAAAAATTTTTTTCGTATGGAAAACTTTTAGGGGGGGGGGGGGGGGTATTTTTTCGAGTTTTTCATAAAAACTCTAGCAAAATGAAGAAATTTCGCAAGACGAAGGGAGATTTGTCCCCGAAATCCACCCCTTGGCTACGCGCCTGCAACAAAACTTTGAAGTCATTGTCTTCATATTAAGTTCAGCATGTACTAGACGAAGTTTGTATAAATAGTAACTATTCTAAGAATTTATATGAAAAAGAGAAGAGTCTGAAGAATCAAGTGTGAACACAAATGTAATTGACAATCAACTCCTTAAGTTCGATAATTAATTTAAAATAATTTATCTATCCACAACCGTCAAATTTATTTCTCATGCTTTTTAAATCATCTACACAAGAAATTTTCACTTGAGCGCAGGAGCGAAAAATTCAAACATTTGGTCAATTTATTGAATGAAATCACAAACTCCAGATGTAAATTCACAAACAATTATTTAAATCACATTAAATCCTTGATGACTGTTGCAAATAATTCGAATGACATTTCCATAAATAGTCAAAATTTGATCAAAATATGACAGCTTAATATTCACCACTCTCTCACGTTTGATATGTAGAGAATAAGGAATTACACAACGCTCAATTCTCTCACGGTGTGCTTTTCTCCATTAACTGTGTGGTGATGTTAGTCAGAAGTGAAGCGAAACCTAAAGACACAAGACGTACATGATATTCGTGGAGCAAAAAGTTATGGCAGTGAAAAATTGAAAAAAATTAAATAAAGCTTCAAAAATGGTTTGAGAAGTTCAAAAAATATCAAAATCTATTAGATTAAGTGTTATTACATGTTAATTTGTAAAAATTTGTGTATATTTTCAATAATAAACGAGAGAAAAATCGTAATTACAAAATATCAAGGAGAAAAAAGTGCAAAGTTCTTTGTGACAAAAAAAAGCATAAAGTAAAAGTATTTCTTTAAAGTCAATAATTGACGAGAATAAAAATCGATTCAAAATGCCACCAAATCCAGCAGATAATTGTAAAATAAAGGTGGCTGTACGAGTTCGTCCATTTAATCGACGAGGTAGGTGTTTTGTGGAAGTGACGACTTTTTTTTATTTAACTTGAATAGCTTATCACTACTTGTGAAAGTCCTTCATTTGTTTCCGTACGAAACACAACAGAAAAAAATATTTTTTCGCTGATAAAGAAAATCTGGAACCTCTGAGTCGACCATAATTTATAAAAGAATGAAATTTTGTTGAAGAAAAAGTGAAGAAAAAAAATTGATTTTTATTAAAGAAGAAAAAACAAGAGAAGAAAAAGCTGTTTTAGTAGATGTGCTGGAATCCAATGACTCTACGAGTTGATTATGAATCATTTTCGTTATTTTTAAGTTCCTCTGTGAAATGTCATTGTTTTCATCATGAAATTATGTGACGTATAATTTTACACACAGTCTAAAGATAGTAATTGCAATTTTTTATTTCTTATGTCTTGATATTTAATGGAAAATGCCATCACAGAATACTTTTAGCAATACATTTGTGTGCGTAACACTGTGTATATTTTGATTATTGTGCAAAACATAACATAGGGGATATTTAGGAAGAAAAGAATCAAAATTTTCCGGAGGGGTTTCATTTTAGTATGTAGGAAAAAGTGCGAAGATGAGTGAAAACAGAGAAAATGAGAGAAGAAAATATAATTTCAACTGTGAGTGGAGTGGAGTAAAAAAAATCGATAACAGTACGAAAAAGTGTGTATATTCCATTCCTTCATGTAATTTTCCTTTTTTTTGGGGTTGATAAATTTTTTTTTGGTTCCTTAAAATATACGCTCATGTTACTGTTTATTGCTATTTGTGGATTTGTAATCGGACTTGCTATGTTTTCGATTCCATACCGAAGTATACAGCACGATTGTAGAAAAAAATAATGGAAACTAAAATTTATGGACTAAAAGTCCAATATACAGAAAATAGCAAACTTGAGACGTAAAATACCGCGCAAAAATATTCCATAGTACTTTAGTATAAATGATGATAGCAGCAAAAAAATTAATTGTGTTGTATTTTCGTTGCATATAGTATAGCTTATTACTACATACACCAAAGCAACACTTCAAGGCTGTAAATTTCTCTCTCTGTTTGTAATAGCAATCATGCAATATGACTTGACCTTTCGATTTGATTCGCAGCCGCTGACTTTTTTGCTACTTACTGCATTGCTCTGATTTTTTTTCTCCAAACAGTACATTTTGTAAACACATCAGTTATATCAGTAATTACTGCATTACTGTATTGTACATATCTTTTCTTTGTTACTTACCTTGAATTATCTTGTACCAGATTGAATTTTATAGCATAAAAAAAAAGATGCAGCAGCTTGTATTATTTTTTCATATATCATTCTGGAAAATGCATGCATCAGTGTATATTTGTCAGAATTGTTCATGATACGGTTAAAATGGCAGTTCGAACAATTTTCGACTTTCATGACATTTTATAGTTTTTTAGTAGGTCATCAAATTGTCAGGGAGATTTTAAGTTTTTTTTGGAGATTTTATTGCATTGTCTATTTTTTTTTTGGTAAACAAAATTTCTGCTAGCTGGCACAGAAATGATTTTTCAAAAAAAATGTTTAAAAGTTGACTTAAACTTTCAAGTTTAAACAATAAATGAAAAATCTAATTCCACACTTTACAAACTGCTCTGATGCATCAGAAACTGACCATAGACTTTACAATAATGCAAGAGTGTTTCAACGGAGCAATGTACATGCAAAAAGCACAATGAAATTAGCCTGAAGCACTGTGATTCTGATCGACGATAGAATCTCGAGAGACATAATCCTCTTAGTCTTTGAGACATAAAACAAAAGAATTAATCTGAACTTTGTTTGTTGTCATCAAGCTAGTTAAAATGTTTGGCATCTAAAACAATGATAGTAATCTAAACTACTTGAAAAAATTAAGTTGTGTATTTTGTAAATCTACCAAAAAAAATTATATTTCAATCCACGTATGTTACAAAATTTGATAAATGTCTGCGATATGAGCCGTGAAAAAATAATAATATTTTTTTTTTCTTCGGAATAAAAGTTTAAATGTATGCTGATAAGATAAAGTCGTATAGAATCATGTGTAGACTCATAAAGGAGATATTAAACCAAAAAAAAAAAAAATAAAATTTTCTAACGACTTATTTACAAGAAGAATTGTAAAAGAGAATGACTTCATTATGTCGTCAACACTTGCTTGTTGTATGTTTGAGTGAGAGAAAATGCTCAAATGAGCTAATAAAATAAAGTAAAAAAGTATTCGAATTACCATTTTAGTGATGTAATGGTGACTATTATAAGTTAAGGCATCGGTTCGTTTCATTGAACTGAATTCTTTTTATTTCACTATTTAAGCAACTTTTTTCTTATAATTTGGAATTAAAAGCTTTTTGCTTCTGTTTCTCATTTTCAATGTTATTATAATCCCATAAAAAGTATTTTCTTATTTCCAATTTCGCCAGTTTTTACTTGCTTAAAGTTGGCATGGATTTGGATGATTTTTATGTAGCCAAGAATTTGATCTAAAATCGTAGACATAATAACAACATCCAGACTGTGCAGACTGTCTGCAAAGTCTTTCTGTAGACTATCTTCACGCTAATGACTATATAATATCCAAAAAACGACATCAAGTTTTTCTTATCGCTACAGCGAAACAGTAACAATTCTACAAATGAATAAATAAATTAATGAGCACTTGAAAAATCCATTCTTACTTCTTGTTCCCCCCAAAAAAATGTCTGTTTCTGCAAAACGCTTAGTCGTTCGAGAGGCAATTTTCATGCGAAACAGCGTAACTAGTGATTTAAATTACAATTTACCAACTTGCGTAATCTTGATGTGGGCAAACTTGTGAAATATATGTATTAAGTAGTAAAGTAACGAACAATAATTTTTTTCCGTTGTCGAATCGAGTTTCTTCTTTCGAGTATTTTATTTCTCTCATTCACTCTCTAGTTCAGTGATTCTCAAGATATGTAACGTGGTACACTCTTGTGTGCTATAAGAGCTGTTGGTCTTTCGTACATATTAAAGTATCAAATAGGAACAGAACCCAACAAGTTTAATGTTCTCAAGTTCTTCATTTTCAGTAATTATACGTGAACGACACATGAGTCGCTAGAAAAGGTTTAAGAAGCTTTGCACCAGCCTATACAAATAAAATTAGGTGTTTTTTGCCTACAACTTGTTCAAGGCTAAACGTTAATCAACTCATATACCTTATTCAACTTTCCATCAATATATTATTGACTACACAGAGTTTTATGCTAGTCCAACTGGAGCCTGCATGAATATATATTTATACGAAGTAGCATTTATATGTAGAAAGCTAATAAAATAAGAAGGAAGAAGAAAAACTGTGTATGTGTGTCAAAGGAAGAAAATAAATAGTTATAAATAATAGCTGGCTATTGACGAAAATCAATAATAATGACTGTTTTGAGATATCAATTAGAATTAATCAAATTTTTATCGAAAATTGCATTAATGTCTACTTTTATTAGAAGGGGAAGACATTGAAAAGTTCATTAATTCTTGCGGTAATAAGTTTTCTCTTTGTAACCTTCTGTTACTGTTAGACGAGAAACTAGACTTTCCATAAATTTTTCTTGAGGAACAAATAAAAAACTTAAAGTTATTCCAAGAAAAATTCAAATAGTCATACATGCGATTTTTAATTCAATTGCGTGATATAGCATGCGTAAAATTACGCACGATTGTGTAGCAAATAAATTTAATCATGTACAATTCGCGATTTTACAATTCATTTCTAGCTATTTCTAGTAAAAGTTCATTCATGTTTTGTGCGAAAATAATAAAAATAATCAACTGACGGTTTACAATGTCGATGATGTAATATTTCCAAAAATTAACCGGTTAAATAAAGTCTAAGCTATAATTTGCACTTGCAAAATGGTAGACAGGTGATATCTTGTTTACGGGAAAATCAGAAATGACGTCTAACAATAAGTTCGGTACGGCATGTAAACTTTAAGCTTTAAAAGTAATAATAATTTTCTTGAATTAATATTTTGTCATATCGAGGCTGAAGTTGAGGGCCTTAAAAATAATATTTCTCTTTTAGTAACGTCATTAATGAATAACCCCGTAGAGAGTGACGTGTTTGTTGCTAAAAATATTAATGAAAACACAACGTTCATTAATATTGTTTGAGTGTAATTAATGAATGATTCATTAAAACCTGATTTATTTATGGATTACTGAAGGAAGTTCTAAGAAACATAAATATAGCAGATGTGTAATTACACAAATCCAAAATTTTGGAAATCATTAAGTTTCAAGAGTTATTGGAATTTGTATTATGTGCTTTATAAAATAGCAATGAATCAGAAATAAATACTATGAAGTTTAAGATTGATAGAAATCGCTTTTTCATTTGGAATTACAGTTCTAAGAAAGTTTTTGTTGTGCGATAATAAAGTTCCACATGAAATTTTCATTTAATTATTTGGAAAAAAAACTTCTTGCAACTTCGTATATTCTAAATCACAAAACCCTATGTCTAATTGTTTCCTGCAAGAAGGAAACTTAATTTTAATGTCCAATTTTGATTATAATTCATCTGAAACCTGTCAACTTTTATCTTAATGCTGCAAATTCCGTAAATAATATTGATAAATTTTTACGTCGGAACCTTTTGATGACATCCTTAATTCAAATGTGCAACAATTAAAAGCATTAATTGTTATGAATCTCCAAAGCACCACCAATTTTTACTATCGAACGTGATTTATAGGAAATTAAATTCACATTAATTACAATTATTAGTGCGAATGTCCTTCACAGCCGGCATGGCTTTAATGTTCTTTCATTTATTATTCTTTCTTTTTTTTCTGTAATCAATACATACACAAGCGATTGATTTTTTTTTTTATTTTGTATTCTTATGTGAATACTAGTCTACAGTCAACGAATATTTTGTTGACATTTACGGTCAATATGGCAGCAACAGAAACACATTTTAAAAGAAAACTTAAAAGTACAATAACGAAAGGACATA